TAGCAGCCCCAGCGCGCCCAGGCCCGCCAGCAGCGCCGCCGCCGCCACCGCGTTGCCGCCGCCGCCGCGCGGCCCCCGCGCTCGCCGGCCCCGCCGCATCCCACCACAGCCGCCCGGGACGGGACGGGACGGGACGGCAGGGCAAGGCCGGGCAGGCAAGGCCGGGCGGGGCGGGGCGGCAATAAAGGGCCTCGGGCGGACCGGGCAGGGGAGGCCCGCCCAGGCCGCCGCGCCTGGTTGGATCGCGGAAGTGCCTGGCGGCCTGCGGCAGGGCGGCGGCCGGACGCCGGGTGTCCTCGAAGGGGAGCAGCCGGCGCGGTGCCCGCTCGGCCCCCGCGGCCCAGACGAGGCGAGTCCCCGAAGAAGGCCGGCGGGGCGGGAAATGGAGCGAGGGGGCCCTCCTCTCCCCGCGCCCCTTCCGCGGGTGACACGTGCGGGGGCTGTTGCCACCGTTCTTACATATAAATATAAATACAAAAATTAATATGTCCTTTGTATCTCCGGAGGTGCCTGCAAAGGTGTTCCATGCTGTCGCGGTCACCGGTTATTTTACCCCCCAGGAAGAAATCGCAGTGAAAAATAGTTCATTTCAAACAAGGGATGGTAACATGCAGGGTGTTGACAGTTTGAAATAAACAGGGTTTATTGTATGTATTGTCCTGATGTGTATGCTGGATGGTGGATGATAAGCTGCAACGTGTGGAGAAATGAAAGGGTATCCGTTAGGCAAAAAGATGTACTTTATCTTACTATCCTATTGCACATCAATAATTTTAAGCTATTCAGACTGCCATGCTTCCTGCAGAAAGCAGTAATGAACCCGAACCCTTGATGAAACTGAAAGAAGGAGGGGCAAAAGCAAGATTGCAGTTGAACATTAAGGAAACATCACAACTATAAAATAATTTGAATACAGTTATGCAATTTGAATGTCAACAATGAAGAAATGTTTTACATGCCTTGGAGACTTCGACAAAGAAATTACAAGATGATTCAAACTTAGAAGTGCGGCAATTAAGGAACTAGAAAAAATCATCAAACGTAGGAACATTTCACTGGCAACCAAGGTCCAGATTGTATTCCCAATTACAATGTGAATACTGGCCAGTGAAAGATATTGACAGAGAACAAAATTGAGGCATTTGAAAATGGTGCCTTGTGAATACCCTGGACTGACAAAAAGGCAAACTAGTCAAGCCAGAATATACCCTAGAAGCAAGAATGGCAAAACTGACCCTGTCATATTTTAGGCATACCATAATATCTTGAGGTTATCATTTTGAGCTGCCCAAAACTTAGTCTGGAGTTCATACTCTTAGGTCTCTGTAGATGCCATCCATCCTGGGGGTAATCACACATCCATGTGTCTCGCACAAAAAGTGGTTTTGACAGAAGTACTGTTTATCTTGATGGGAGATTTCCCTAATCATGGCAATGTATGATATGTGACAGTCCAAAGTTTATTTTGGGATGTAGGGGGATATAAACTTCTACATCCATATTTATTAGCTGACTTCTATTTCAAACTTTCATATAAATAAACAACTGGGAATTGGTAGCCAAGCACAGCATCAATGCATTGATACCGATGGAATGACATGCCTCTGGGACTACAGGTCAATATGGGAAAATGAAATTTCCTGCAGCTCCAAAAACCACAAGGTGTTGTATTAACTGACTTGTTTTTCAGCTCCTACGTATTTTAAGAAGTTATTATACTTTATTTGTAGAATGTTTATGCTACTTGGTTAAAAAGGCTCCCAGAATGCTTTACATATAATCAAACAAGGTTATTTCTGCCTATAGGTTTATAATCTGAAAAGACACAACACAAGGAAAAAGGGAATGGGGGGGGGAAAAGGGGGGGGGGATACTCTGTTTAACAAGGCTGGGCCTGTGCTTTCTCAACTCAGCTGGGTGGAATGGCTGCTGCTGGCCACAATTAAGGGGCAGGAGCCTTTATAAAGGCTGCCCTTTCAGTAGGGCTGGCATTGCTCTCCCTCTCCTGTCCCTAACTAAATACCCATTATTATATCATCATCCCAGAACTTCCACTGATGTCTTGCTCTTCTCCATTGATGAGGTGAAAATCTGTCACTTGTATCTTTGGTTTAGCTTGTTCTTGTTGTCATTATACTATTAACAGTATGACCTCCTCAAAAAAAAAAAAAAAAAAAAAAAAACCCATTGCAATATGCTCTTGCATTCAGTGCAGCCAGCCATGCCCTTTTACAGAATATTCCATTCCACTCTGCACCCGCCATCCCATCAGCATTCCATTCCCAGTGAGCGTGTTCGGCCTTTATCTGGCCATTTTAAGAATTCCACCCCTAAATTTTCTAAACTGCTTCATATGTCTACAAATCAAAGCTCCCCAAACCCATGGATATTACCCTCTTGTGTGTGGGTGGTACTTACTGCCTTGGCTACTTAAGGAGAGACACTTATTTTTAGTTTACTGTTAGCATAGAATTATTTAATGATAGAAACCAGGGATGGAGAACCTTCAGAACTCCTATGGCCAGTTCCTTTGTTTGGGAGCCAGCTTCATTCTCCTTGGCTTTTCCCCCACTCTGTGTCTTGGGCTCATTAGATCTCAGTCTGCCATCTGGGGCAGCAGAGAAGTCATTACCATCTTCTATGTGATAGCATAGAATTTGAGGAGTGCCATCATGGTATTTGAAGTTTGCTATCATGTTTCACGTTAGTTTTCTCTTCTTCACTGTAAACACATTCAGTTCCTTCAAGTTGTTTTTCACAGGGCCCATTTTCCACACTGCGAAACATCTTTGTAGCTCTCCTCTGAACCTGCTCCAATTTGTGCATATTCATAAAAGTGCAACACACAGAACTAGATCTGTTATTCCAGAAGACTTCTGACTAGTACAGAATATAGCTGAGCTATCATTTCCAGTCACTTGGAAACTACAGTTCCATTAACGGAGCCTAAAATTACACTGGCCTTTTTCGCAGCTACATCACAGTGTGGTGCGGTGACAGCCGCTAGCAGATGGAGAGTACACGAATCAATGGGAGAGTTGCTCTATCAGTGATTATCTATGATAGCTAAATAAAACCTCCATTTGCAGAGGCGGCATACCACTGAGCACCAAATGCTGAGGAGCAGCAACAGGGATTTCATCTGTATGCCTTGCCTTAAGTCTCTCTTAAGTGTTGTATGAGAGCAACCACCTGTTAGGTCTTTTCATCCATTCTAGGTCCAGGGCGTATAGTCAAGTGCGTATAGTCAAGGCTATGGTTTTCCCAGTTGCAATATATGACTGTGAAAGCTGGACCATAAGGAAGGCTGAGCGCCAAAGGATTGAGGCCTTTGAATTGTGGTGCTGGAGGAGACTCCTGCGAGACCGCAAGGCGATCAAACCGGTCAGTCCTAGAGGAGATCAACCCTGACTGCTCTTTAGAAGGCCAGATACTGAAGATGGAACTCAAATACTTTGGCTACCTAATGAGAAGGAAGGACTCCCTGGAGAAGAGCCTAAGGCTGGGAACAATAGATGGCAAAAGAAGGAGGGGACGGCAGAGGATGAGGTGGCTAGATGGAGTCCCTGAAGCAGTTGGCGTGAGCTTAGGTGGACTCCAGGGGATGGTGGAGGACAGGAAGGCCTGGAGGAATGTTGTCCATGGGGTCGCAATGTGTCAGACACAACTTCGCGACTAACAACAACAGGCCCAGGGCAGCCAAAATGCTGCATCTTTCCCATTTGGTTATTATCCAGAAGACTCTTAGGTGCTTGATGAAGTAATGGGCAGCATCCAATGTGACTGATAATGTCTATTATGTTGCCTGAACTTGACATCCCCACTTTCTTGCCCAAAGATATCCTTCATTCATAATCCTCAATGTAGGACCATGTAGTGTAGGCAGAATGTTTTGCAACATTTCACACAAATGTTTGGGAGAAAAGGAAGCGAGACGTCTTGCACCAAACAACACTGCTTTCATGAGTTCAGTAATACATTACATATTGCCATTGGTGCATGCCCACAGAATTTGAGATGAATTCTGATGGGAACTGTTTCTCCCCTCTCTCGACCTTCCGCAAACTCCATGTAAAAACAGCTTGTTTTCCAAATGTGGTTTGGTTCTGTCTTCACTGACCTGGAGAAACCTCCTTTCCATCCCCTCCAAAACAGGTCTGGTGATATCTGTTTGCATCAGGCAAGGTACTTCTAAGTGAGAAAATAGCTTCATGACAGTACAAGTCTTGGCTCAGTTTGAAAGTAGTTATCTTTAAAAAAAAAAACACCCCCCCCCCCACAATTGGCCATTTATCTATCTTTCTCTTCGTTTCTTAATAAACTTGAATTAGAGCTCTGCAATCCTGTTCATTTGCCTGCTTGCATTGCACTCGAATTCCTTCAGGAGGAGAGAACAAGAACAACAGGTTGGATGGGGTGCCGCCACACCGGCTGGACAAGCCTCACCTTCCATGTCCTCAGGCATCCCACGACTCTGCAGGTCTGGCTCAGAGTGATGAAATGCCTGTGGCAGTCATCACAGGACAGCTCTCAGCTGGTTCTTTGAGACAGGTGGATGGGTGTACCTGCATCACCAACCGGGGGCTTTTTTTCTTGCTTGCTTTGCCAGGGGAAGGGGAACCATATTGCTGCCCAATGGGTAAACAGATACACTTAGCAGGCACCAAGTCATCTCAACACCCCTAAACCTTTTGTGAGAAAAGGCTGCCAACTTCTACTCAAATGCAGAGCATGTTAAATCCCCTCAAAATATAGAAATCTATACATTAGGCTACTAATAGTTGCAGGAAAGCTGCTCCCCTAACAGAATGACTGGCTATGAGAGCTTAGGAGTATAACTACGTGGAAGACTTGTGCTGGATTGCTGGTCATGTAAACCCCTAACAGTATAGTGCAAAAGATATTTCCTCGAAATAAGGCAGTGATCTGTAGGATTTACTTCCTGGGATTTATTTCTATTTGCTTTTTCCTTCAAGGCAGCTTGCATAATCCCCCCCCTCTGAAAAACATCTTCACAACAACCCTGCAAGGGAGGTTAGGCTAAGAGCCAGCCAAGTTATGCAGCGAGCTTTGCGGCCAAGCCGGGCCTGGAACCTGCCTTCCCCGAGTCCCAGCTCAGCCCCCTCACCACTACACTGCACTGGTTCCCTGGTGCGTTTATAATCCTCGGCACACTTTCCAGGAAAGGTGTAATCCCATTCGACGGTTACACAAAGCTTGCGCTGCCAGTCCCTTCGGCAGGCCGATGGGGTTTGCCGCAGGAAGCAGATTCCGAGGGTCATGTAAAGGCAGCCCATTGCTCTGAAGCGGACTGCTGCTGTTTCCTCGGCTCGTGGGCTCTTCCGCTGTAGCTGCCAAGACGGCTCGGCTGGCCCTGGGTGCCAGGCAGCTCGGCGGGGCCGGGGACGCATTTTCTGCCCCGTCTGCGGTCTCCCTTCCGCAGGACCGCCCCGGGGGGACGGGGGTGAAGCCCTGCAGGGGCAGAAGGCACGAAGCGCGCCGCTTTCGGGGGAAGCTGCCCCGCTGCTGGCTGTGCGCGTGGGACGCGGCGAGGCGGGAGCGCGCGGGGTGCCCCTTCCCACGTTAACCGGAACCCCCGAAGCCGGCCCGTTCCAGCACCTCCTCGCAGGCCGTCGCAGCCCTCCCCTCCCGAGCGCAGGGAAAGTGGCGCTCCGGCCGGGTCCCGCCTTTCTCCTCTCCCGCGGGCGGAGCGAGAGCAGAGGCGGCCGGCGGAGCGTCGGGGCGCCCATGGGGGAGTGCGGGGTGCCCGCGGGGGTCCAGCTGCTGCTCCGCGCCTGCGAGCAGGGCGACTGCGAGAGCGCGCGGCGGCTGCTGGGGCCGCCGGCGGCCGCGGAGGAGGAGGCGGCGGCCGGGGCGGCGGAGTCCGGCAGCTGCGCGCCGGCCGGGGCCGGGGTCGGGGCCGCGGCGGACGCCCCTCCCGGCTCGGTGCCCGTGGACGGCACGGACGAGGCGGGCAACACGGGGCTGCAGTTTGCGGCGGCCGGCGGGCACGAGGAGCTGGTGGGCTTCCTGCTCCGCCGGGGGGCCTCGGTGCAGAGCCGGAACCACTGCGGCTGGAGCCCGCTGATGCAAGCGGCCAGGTGCGTGCGGGGGGCCGGAGCAGGCGGGCAGCGGCGCGGCGGGGCCGGGCCCGCGCAGGGCGGGAGGAGCGGCGAGCGGGGCCGCCGGGGACCGCGGCGCGCGCCCCGCTGCCCTCGCCGGACGCCCTGAACCTCGCGTTGCCGAACAGCGCCGCCCGCCGGCGGAGACCGTGGTGCTCGGCCCCGCCTCTCGCGTGTAGTCGCTCGGCGGAAGGGTTAGGACCGACGCGGTTGGGTTGGCGCAGTGTCAAAGCAGGGAAAGCAGCGAGGGTTACGTGTGGATGGCTGCAGGGGGGGCGGGGGCGAGGGCGAGACCAGCGCCGGGAGGGCAAGGCTGCCTCTAGCACCAGGCATGGTGCGCCCATGTCCGCCGCTCGCTGGGGAACTTGGGCGCTGGGTACTGAAGCCCTCCGTGTGCCCTTCCTATTCCAGGCAGCTGGCTGGCTTGACCGAGCAGAGTCCTGGAGTGGGTGGACCCCGGGTTTGAAGCAGCCTGGCTCTTATGCTCTTACGAGTTACACGCAAACCGTATGCATAGATTATTCGAAACATTTTAGATGCCTCTAAAAAACCATGAAACACTGCTCCTTTCAGGAGTGCATCCAAAATTGCCCTTTTTAGCTAAAAGGTAGCGAGTAGACACGGCAAACACGTTCGAACAGACGCAACGGGTCAAGTAAACGATACAATCGGTGCAACCCATGGGTGTATACGTGGATGCAACCCACGTGTTTCAGTGTGAGTTTCCGTTACTTAAGCATAAGGGAGGGGATATTTAAATCTCAGCATGGGTGGGCAAAGAGAGGTCCTGAATCCTTTCCCGGGCTGCCCTTTCCCTCTTAAAGTACCTATTGCAAGCCATTTTTCTCTCAGCAGAGTTTCCAGGAGTCCTGCCAGTGATAATACCAGTGAACGGGAAGTGACTCTGGGGAGAAAGCACAAGCACAGAAGATTCAGTACTCTGTCCACACTGTGCTTTAATGCTGCTGTTCTCTGGATGGGCTCCGAATTAAACATGGCAAGCCTTAGCAGCACATAGGCAGTGATGCGAAATGCCTTGTTTGTCCCCGACAGCCCAAACCAGCTATAATTCCGTGTTGAATGTACTGTTGGTTCCAAACTATATGGAATAGACCCTGGGTACTGATAGGAGTACAAGCTTACTTGAAATGTGATCAACTTGAGCTACAGCGCATTGTTAGAGAGGGGCCATTTTTAATATTTTGCATTCCTTATTGCAATTGCAAACATCAGAAGCGAACCAGCCACAAGCAGTGTTGCCCCCTTTACGACAAGCTTGCTTCTGTGCCTAGGTAGCAGCCTGGAACACAGGCGCAGCTCAGATGTACCTGCCCCAGTAACATTTCACTTGGTAATGATGGAGCCCGGCTGCGGGGCACACAACTGTGACTTGTGTGAGCAAGGCAAAGGTCTTGATGTCCTTGCACATATATACCAAGTTCACCATGCACATTTTCTGTGAACTTTTCACTCTTCAAACGTAATGCGCAAGGACGCTTCACAACCCATCCCATCCATGAGGGGGTTTGCTGCTTTTATTCTTTTAACTCTTATTTATTTATTTAGAAAATTTCTAAGCTGCCCCATTTGCCGAAGCCTCGGGGCGGCTCACAAAACATGAATTAAAATATAATACATTAAAAATTAAAAATATAAAACGAATTAACAATATAAAATAAGTTGCCCTGGCCAAAGAATAAAATAAGCAAATAATATTAGCAATTAAAATGACGTTTGAATAAAAAGGTCTTCGCCTGGCGCCAAAAAACAAATATACACTTTGTATTTAAGGGCAGTGTGGTGTGGTCGTTGGAGGGTTGGATTGGTGAACCAGGAGAGCCAGGTTCTAGACCCTACTCAGTCATGAAGTGACTTTGGATCACTGATGCATTTTCAGCCTAACCTACCTCGCAGGGCTGTTGTGAGGATAAGATGGAGCTATGTAAGCTGCCTTGGAATCCTCACAGGATGGAAAAAAGCAGGATGTGAATGGAATGGAATGGAATAATAATGTTTGCAATAGAGGCAAATAAAAAATTGTGGATGCTCCTATCCCGTGCAGTTTGTGCCTTGGGAATCTTTACAACAACCATGCAGGCAGGATAGAGCTATTATTCCTATATTACAAATTCTCAGACTTTTCTTGGGACCAGGTAACGTGCAATGCGTGACAGAAGCTTTGAATTATATATAATTCTTCCTCCACTTAGATGTTCCAGAACAAATGTTAAAAAAACATTTTCTATGTGTGGGCTGAAGCTGAGAGACAGTGGTTTATCTGACTTCACAGTCAGGCTGAGATTTGAACTGCCCACAGTGCATTCTCTGACTGCTATGTTACACTCCTTTTCTAAATTGTTAAGGCAACAAATAAATAAAAAGAGGACTTTTCTTTTATCCAAGTTGATATCATGACTTTCTCTTCTCATATTTTTTCCAACCAAAGGTTTGGACATCTAAATGTGGCTCGCATCTTGCTGGAAAACGGTGCTGACCTTCATGCACAGAGTAAATTGGGAGCCAGTGTCCTCACCGTGGCCTCTCGGGGAGGCCATATCAGTGTGGTCAAGTTGCTGCTGGAGTCTGGAGCAAACGTAGACAATTACGACCCCCTGAGTGCTAGCCTGGACAACAGTAAGGAGGAACTGCCAGCCATCACGCCCCTCATGGCAGCTGTCCAGCACGGGCACGAAGCAGTGGTCCACCTTCTGCTAGACTGGGGTGCTGATTGTAATTACACGGTGAAGCCCATGGGCTGGACTCCCCTGATGCTGGCTGCCGTCAGCGGACGAGTGAGTCTGGCCCAGCAGCTTATGAACAAAGGAGCCTGCCCGGATCATCTGAACATGCTGCACAAAACGCCATATGAAATAGCTGTGGACATCAAGCATGAAGATATGAAAAACTATCTGGCACCTTTAACAACAGTTAGACCCCAGACAGGTATGGAGTTTTCCCCTCTGTTTTAACTTGAGTTATGGATTTCCAAATAATTATTTTCTTGACTTTGGAAATCCTTGCATGAAGGAAGGAAGGAAGGAAGGAAGGAAGGAAGGAAGGAAGGAAGGAAAGAGACAGACAGACAGACAGACAGACAGAGGGTGTCCTTTGCAGGATTGATGACTGACAATAAAAATGGGCCAGCTAGGCTTTGTCCCAGAAGTCAGGCCCAGCCAAAGTGGCAGAGGAGAGGAGATAGAGAGCGTGCTTGGTTATACAGAGAAGGACCCAAACTGCTGACTGGCAATTGGAAGGGTAATCTTGGAGGGACGCCACTATTCTTGGCTCAGTGTCTCAGAAACCATGGGCCCACTTTGGTAGGACTTTCAAGTGTACTCCAGAACTATTCCTGAAAGAATGAAAGAAAAAATCTTCTGCTTGCCAGCAAAATTTCTCCAAATAACATATTTCAGTCTTTTAACATATTCAATTATTGACAAACCTCCAATTAAAAAATAGTGTTCTATCAGAGACTAACTGACTGTATTAATTATAATAAATATGGAGTAGAACAAAAGTACAATCAGTTTAACAAAACCCAAGCAAATTACACATTTGTAGCCAATGGTTTTAGCAGATTATTTCAAAACACTGCTGCTCCTGGCTCTATGCCTGTTTCTCCTAGTTTTTGTTCTTTTGTTGGACTTATCCTTTTGGGTTTATTGTGTTTCCCAGTTCCTTCTGAAGCACTGCCTTTCTCAGGTCCTGGCTCTCATTTCCCAGGCCTCCTTGCTTCCCTCAGCCTGCTTCATCCTCCCACCCTTGACTTCCACTCACCCGGGCGCGTGCATTTTCCTTTCCACTTTCCTAAGCCCAACCATATTCAGGGTCCAAGTGGCTCAGCCAAGATTTGAGCAAGACAATGCGTCAGAGGAATCTGGGGAAATCCTGACAGTAACAAATTCCTTAACTATAAAATACTACATTTATTTATGTTACTGCTACACTTTTATCTCACCCTTCTTTAATAAAACAATAAGTCAACCCAAATGTTCAGGATAGGCTAGAATATTCTTTCCCTACCCATCCTTTCTGTTCAAAACAATCTTGTAGAAAACTTTTTGCACTCCTGCAGGCCAAGCCTAAGCATATTAACTTAAAAATAAGTTTATCCAGTGAAGTTTATTCTTTTGTGATTGTGCATAGCATTGTAGCTTTACATTAATTAGAGCAAGATGTTGCTTTGCAAAACTGTGGTGGTAAAACATTGCTATAGATGTTAAAAATAGCAAAAGCTTTCTGAGGTGCTCCAGTGCCAAGCAGCCGTCCATCCTTTGTATCCTCCAAGAAATAATTTCAACAGTTAAATAATGTTTATAAAGATCAGGAAAAGGTTCTTTGACTCAGCTGACAAATTGGGACATTTAAACAAACTAGTATTCACCCCCCCCCCCACTGAATGCGTAATTTGTAATTTTTTGAACTTTTTTCCCCAAGGAAGATTCAGCAATCACTTGCAAATGTGGTAGAAAATTAGAAATCAGCACAAATGTAGTAATGTAAATTCTAAAAAAGCAAAACAGAAGAGACAACTTATAATAGTTAGGTCTAGATCATGGTATTCTAGTTAGGTAATAGGTCTACATGCTTCTAGAAAGGTATATAGATGAGTGGTAAAGAAAACAAACCAAGGGGCAGGCCTATTGGGGTGGAAGACCTTCCTGAAAAATATTTCAGTAACTCGTTGCCATAGGACCTTTGTTTTGTATTTTTTGCTACATTTTATTGTTGTTTTTAATGTGTGACTGGTTTTTACTATGTTTTAATTGTGTTTTTATCTTGCGCTTGTGAGCTGCCCAGAGGTGCTGTGGCACAATTGGACAGCATACAAATATTTTAAATAAATAAATACTGCTAGGCCGCTGGTACTGATGGATAGAGCTGTATCTGCAAAACCCATGGAGAAGTCCTGTTTCCCCTAAGTTAGCCTGGTGTCCTGGGGTGCAGGAAAGGACAGTGCCCCATCACCAGTGTTAAAATAAAATAGTCTGCCTGACCCGTGGTCCTCAGCGGGGGGACAGCATCTCTGCGCTTCGTCTCTGTCAGCAAAATCTCTTTGGCCAGCCTTGTTGACTTCCACAAATAGAACAAGACGTTTATTCTGCTGAGTGGGTCTTGACTATTGAACTGTTGCTGCTGTCTTTCCTGCCCTCTTAAGACAATTTATACATGATGAACAATCAACGAGATAGATCTTTTCCAGAAATAGAAATAATCACAGTTTTGGTGCTTACAGACCAGCTTTATGAAGGGGCTTAATCGCTGGCTGTAATGGAGGGGGCAGCTCTGTTTGAGGATCTGCAATGCTGTCTCGTACACAAAAGGGCGCATGAAAATGCTTTTCAGGATGGGGGGGCAGGTCCATTTCAGGGTCCCGTCCCCCCCATTTGCAAAGCATCGCTGGATTAGAATGACTGGGCATCATCTCTTAGAGCTCACTATAGTCATTGCTGGATTTCAATCATTTACTTCTACCTCAAGTTTTTGCTTTTATTCTATTTCCACTTTGTTCTTTTTCCCCGTCTTTAGCCATCTGGCACTTTTTGAAATCTTTGAGCTCCCCCTTGCTATTTTCAAATGATTCTTGAGAACACCTTCAAGAAATTGTCATAAAGATTGAGAAAAAGAGGGCATATCAGCACAATGTCAAGGTAGAAGAGTTGAGGAGGCACAGGTGCAATTAGATCTGGACCCTTGTGGTAGAGAATTGCATCCTAGAATTGCAGAATTGCCCAGGATTGATCACTGGTATCGCTGAGTAGAAGCAGAAAAGACCTCATATAACCCCAAAGAAATCTTGGGAGTCAGGCAATACTAGGGTAAATTGACCAGTGGAGTACCTTGGAGTACCTTGGCAGAATCCACTCTTGGCAGCGGATTCTGGATCACCTGCTCTTTCCTCACAGCCTAGATTGTATCGCTTCCATCAGGCATCCTGATGTTTCTAGGTACAACGCCCACCAAACCAAAAATAAACCCTGTCAGACTAATTTAATCTCATTTTTTTGACTGGGTGACCTCCCAGATGGACAGAGGGAACACTGTGGACATAATCTACCTCAACTTTAGCAAAGCTTTTGACATAGTGCCCATGACATTCTGATAAGCAAATTAGCAAAAAAAGTGGACTAGATCGAAAAACTATGTCGTGGACCAAAATTGGCCACCAAATTGGACACAAAGGATGCTCATCAATGGCTCCTTCTCAGACTGGAGGGAGGTACCCAATGGGGTGCTGCAGGGTTCAGTCCTGGGCCCAGTGCTCTTCAACATCTTTATTAATTATTTAGATGAGGAAGCACAAGGAACAATAATCAATTGGTAGATGATACAAAACTGGATGGAATAGCAAACACCCTAGAAGACAGAATCAAGATCCAGGGTGATCCTGATAAACTTGAACGCTTGGCTGAAAGCAGATTCAATAGGGACAAGTGCTAAGTCCTCCAGTTAAGGAAAAGAAACCAAAGGCATCGATACAAGATGGGGAATGCAAGGCTCAACTGAACTGAAAAAGAAAAAGAACTTGGAGTTATTGTGGACGATCGGCTAAATATGAACCAACAATGCAATGTGGCTGCAAAAAGGGGAAGTGCTATTTTGGAACACCTTAATAGAGGTATTACTTCCGAATCACAAGTAGTAGTAGTTCCCCTATACTCCTCACTAGTCAGGCCTCATCTGGAATGCTGCGTCCAGTTCTGGGCACCAAGATTTAAGAAAGATGCAAAAAAATTAGAGACCAGAGGAAGGCAATAAAAAAGATCCAGGGTTTGGAAACACTGCCCTATGAGGAGAGTCTGAGAAAACTGGGTATGGTAAGTCTTGAAAAGTGAAGGCTGAGGGGGGACATGATATCTCTCTTTAAGTACCTGAAGGGGAAGGACAAGATCTCTTCTCACTGATACCAGAGGTGTAGGACACGGAAGAATCAATTCAAGTTGCAACAACCCAGATGCAGGCTAGATTTCAGGAAAAGCTTCCTTGCTCACTGTCAGAGCAATAGGACAGTGGAACCAGCTGCCCGGATAGGTGGTGGGCTCTTGCACATGAGAGACATTCAAGGTGAAACTGGACAGCCCTTTGAGTGGGATGCTGTAAATTGGTGACCTGCAGCAGCAGGAGTTCAACCCAAGGGCCTTTTTGGCCCCTTCCAACTCTGCTATTCTATGATTCTATGAAGCCAGGATGGCCAGTGGTAAAGGGTTGTGGGAATGGTAGTTCAAAATATTTGGGGGGCACCAGGTTCCACCCTGTACAGTTCATCAAATCCTGTGTTTCAGTAGAGCTTTTGATCTTTACCTTAGCAAGGGTGCAGATGGCTGATCTTTACAATCCTTTTCTTTGTTTTCTCTTTCAGCCAACTCTTATTATTTCCATCTCTGCAATCAGAATTTTTGCCTTCTTCCATACTGGTATTTCCTCTCCTTTTCTCCTTCCCTTTCTCTGATCCAGCAAGCCTGATGTCTTATTGGCTTCATTAGTGCAAAAGATGGTTCTCAGGAATATAGGACTAAGTTTCTACATGGGCTGCTGGTTTCTGGAAAGATTTGCTATGTGTTGGGAAATGCACATATCATATCAAAGCACAGTGTCTTTTTCAGCAGGTGCCTGACTGAAACCGGTGAGTTCTGTTAGCCCAGTCCCACATTCTCTCCCTGTTGAGGCTGCATATAAGGTCAAGGCTGCATATAAGGTTGAGTCGAAACCTAGAGTGGTCCCTATAGCCTCTCCCAAGATAACTGTACTTACTGGGGATTTGGCCAGGATTCTAGAAGGAAGGAGCTGACCCAAGCAGAATCCTCAGGCTGAATCTGAGATTGTCAGAGCATGCCAGTCTGGAAGGCTTTTACGCTTAGGGTAGACCAACCTTGTCAGACACATTTGGACTACAACACCCAGAATTCCCAGTCAATGGCCCTGCTGGATGGGGATTCTGGGAATTGTGGTCCAACTGCCTTTGATGGCCACCAAGTTGGAGAAGGCTAGGGTAAACCACATGGTCTGGCCTGCCCTGGCCTGCCCTGAGGTTTCTGGCATGCAGGCGCACGTCTGCATCTGGTCCATGCGTGTGAGGACCATGCTGTGTATTGTATTGTGCATGCTTGCAGAGATTCTGTGTCAGAAGCGTGTTACTGCTATCTTTTTTCTTCCACGTATTATTACTTTTCACCTTCGGTTCAGGAAAATGGTACTCCAGTGCTTCTCTTGGCCAAAGGAAAAGCACTAGAGCTCTTTTCCAGAGGCAGTAATCCCAGTCCTTAGAGGCCAGTAAAAGACAGGGCAGTGGCACCTCAGTGATCCACCATTGCAGGGCGCAGTTGAGGCCTTTCCCTTGCTTTTGTTTCCAATAACTTAGAAATCCAAAAGTAAGCTTCAGTGCAGAATGGTTTGCTTAGAGTTGGGGTCCATATTACTGCTATGCTAAAGCTGTATGTTTTTCTTCCCCATCCCCAAGATAAACAGAAGAGGCAACCTGACATATTCCATGCTCTGAAAATGGGTAAGTCCTTAAAAATGTCTTAACGTCTCTGCTGCATCTAGATCGTGGTTACTACAGACCTCTGGGGGTACGGCAGTGCTGCAGACAAAGATTTCACTGATTATTTGAAATCATTATGTGGATTTGGCCATTCTTCTTTCTGTGGTGGCTTGTTATGTGTAGTTCTTCTCTTTGTCCTTCTGCTTGATTTCTCCTGACAGGCATGAGGCCTCCTTCCCTCATTCATGTAGACTTTCCCAACTCTTCACAAAGCACACCTGCCCACAACTGTCTTTGGATTGTGCCTGCTGCATTTTACAATTCCTGTAACTTCCTGCTCTCTATCTTCCTGTAAGATCTGAAACGGTTAGCCGGTCACTGCAAGAGGACCTTAAGTTCAGAGCAGCTCTTTGTCAGGAGCGTATCTGTCCCCATTTCCGTTTCCAACAGACTAAAACAATTATAGAATTAAATACACTTGATGAAAGCTTGCAAAACCTAACATTTCACCCTATTATACTAAATTTGACTTGCACACATTTTTGTATTGTTCATATTCTTATAAGCAACAGCACTAGAACAAGATATAACCTTCTTTTCACTGCCAGGGATCTTTATTGATGGTGTTGTTGTTTTCACAGGGAACTTCCAGTTGGTTAAAGAGATTATTGATGATGACCCAGCACAAGCCAATGTTGTTAATGATGATGGTGCTTCTCCACTGATGATAGCAGCTGTAACTGGGCAGTTGTCCCTTGTACAGCTCCTTGTTGCAAGAAATGTGGATATTGACAAACAAGATAATGTCCATGGCTGGACAGCACTAATGCAAGCCACATATCATGGGTAAATATCTTATTTTCCTTGGTTGAGGTAAGAAAGTCCGTCCGTCCTTCCTTCTTCCTTCCTTCTTTCCTCTATTACTATTAACTCCACCTGATCAGATTGTTCCTGGGATAATAGTACAGGGTTTCTCCTAATCTTACCAGTTCTTTGCCATGTGCATATACAAGGCAAGTTGCTATAGATACCTTTGCTCCTTTGTATTTTTCCCCTATCCACAAAGATGTTTGCTATATCACTGTTATCCGTATTCAAGCCCTGGATGTTATAGAATAGCAGAGTTGGAAGGGGCCATGAAGGCCATCGGGTCCAAGTCCCTGTTGTTGCAGGACACCAATTTGCACCATTCCACTCAGAATCATGAGCAGGACTAGCTAAATAAGTGCTCAGGGTGAGCCAAATGGGGAGTGTTTGGCTGCCCCATCCACCACTCAGCTTGTCTGGTTATCATGTATTAGGCATACCATTTTGCTAGGACCTGCACCATTAATATCCAAAGCTAGATGGCCCAGGAGAACTCTTCTGACTTACTTTGTTTCTATGTAGCCTCAAACCATAAGGTCATTAACTGACATATGGTAAGGAAATGAATGAAAAGTCCAGTTCTCTTGTGTTGGAATTTACAGCATACATACAAATGTTACATCCAGTGCATGGATGTCCACCATGAAGGTGGGAAAGCCATAAGGTAGCCACTGTTTCACTTTTATCACTTGTAACGCTTCAAGTTTGTCCAAAACAGGCCAAAGTAGGGAGAAGCTGTCACTGTTGTGCAGTTGTTAGAATAGATTCAATTTCTGAGAATGTTGAACGTCTCAATATTTACAAAGTTCTGTTTCGTCCAAGTTGAAGATGTACTGCCTAAAACCAAGAGATCATTACGCTGTTTAAGTAGAATAAAGCTATCTTTACTGAAGCAGTTATTGTGTGATAACAGTCCCTGAATGCACAACTTTTGATTTGCGTACATATTAAAGAGATTAATCAGAGTAGAGTAATGAGTGTTGGCAATCTCTGTCAAGTTCAGAAGATAACATTCTTCTGTTTCTTCCATCCTAGGATAAGTGATCACGTTAACAGCAAGGCTGATGGGTAAAATTCAAGATGATCAGATACTGAATAGATAGCAAGAGCTGTGACTGGACAACTGTGAATTTTCTATTTCTGTAGATTGTTATTGTTGCTGTTCCTTACACATTCTTTTAAATTCTTTTTGCTGTTGCTCTCATTATTGGTTTGTGTTTGTTTCCATTATGAACAACACATTGAGAATGTCAGCAACGGTGCAACTCATAAACTGAATTAAATAACAACAACAATAGAGCTTCAGGTTGGTTTAGCGCAACCCCAACCTTGAAACAGCAATGTTTGGATAGTGATTGTGTTAAAGAAGCTGAAGCTGTTGCACTTTGAGAAAGGTAAGCTACTGGGAAAGACAATCAAGGTAGAGATGGTTGAAGCAGAAGGAGAAGAAACAGTAGGTGCTGCTGCCAACCAAATATGAGCTCGATTGATCCATCCCATAAGGGAAGCTACAGCCTTGATTTTACACAAGGTGGAACAGGGCTATGGAGGACACTGTAAATCAGAGATGACTTGACAGTACAAGAAGAATGCTACTGCTAATGCTCTGAGCTGGCTGAGCAGGGTTGGATCGATTAGGATGGAGACAAATCATCTAGGTCACTGCAGGCTCCTTTAAGAAGAAAAATAGTTGCTAATAGAATAGAAATAAGCAAACACTTTAGAAAGAATTAGAGGGCAAGGCTAGGTAAAGTTCACTGCTTTTTCATATCTCCTTCTAATCTACTAATCTTACTTCTATGTTTTGCCTTGTGCTTTCTTTAAAGAAATAAAGAAGTCGTTAAGTATTTATTAAATCAAGGAGCTGATGTCAACCTGCGTGCTAAAAATGGATACACGGCCTTTGACCTGATAATGCTGCTGAGTGACCAAGGTATTTCTGTGCCCCTTCCTCCCTCTCATGCAGTCTTTCTCTCTCTCTCTCTCTCTCTCTCTTTTTTTAAAATTTTTATTAAAATTTTAAACTAAAAACTAAAAACATCAGTCTTCAAATACATCGACGTACTGGGTCAGCCCCCTATAACATATCTTTTAACATTCTATAATCATATTCAAATCGATTTATAAAAAATTAAAAACATCTTTAAATCTAAGCCAAGTCCCGTTTCTCCAGCCAATCATAAAAAAGGTCCCAAGTTTAATAGAAGTCAGTATCTTCTGTCTCCTTCAGTAATAGAGTCAATCTGTCCATTTCTGCACAGTCCAGAATCCTTTTTAAAATCAATTCCTCAGTGGGTAATTCCTCACTCTTCCAGTACTGAGCAAGCGCAGTCCTGGCCGCTGTGATTAAATGTAGCATCAAATACATGTCTTGTTTGCTAATATTTTCTGGTATAATGGCCTAACAAGAAAATTTCAGGTTTAGCAGTCTTTCTCATAAGGTGGGATTTTTCTCCTTAGTGGTATGTTTGGGGTTGGAAATTCTTTCCAATACACCCTTTATCCTAATGTTTCAGATGCAGAACTTGTCCGATTGCTAGCATCCGCCTGCATGCAAGTCGACAAAGAAAGAAGCAAGCAGAGCAGCAAGGCATCGGTGTCCTCTTCCCGAAGCAAACCATCTGTCGATATCCCGATGTTGCCTGATGACAAGGGAGGGTTGAAGGTACTTGCATTTCAGATGTGCTCTCTCAATAAGTCATTGTCTTGATCAGGGCAATCTGACAGCAGGCCGAAGGAAACTTGCCAGAGAAGGAAGTGGTTGATGTGCTTTGCTCACGGGAGCAACAATACTGGGTGGCTTGAGTAGGGCAAACATCAAGTGACAGAATGGAAGAACATGGTTCCACCTGGTTGTCGAAAGCTACCAGGCCAAGACTCACTTTCTGTGCGAGCGGTGGCTCCAGGAAAGGAACAAGCAATTAAATGTGTGGCTAGATTTATAAAACAGGACAAAAAGGATGCGAATGTGTCCAGAGTTTTTGAGGCAATAGCTTTTTAGATTAACCTCAATGAATTTCTGGTCATTTTGCTAATTATTGTCACACATAATTATTTTCTAAGGAAAAAAAAACACCTGGCTATGTTTTCTTTTCTAGTCATGGTGGAGCAGGATGTCCAATCGATTTCGCAAGTTGAAGTTGACCCAAACTTTCAATCATGGATTTGCCATAAATCCATCTGTGCCTTTTCCTGAAGAGTCAATCTCACCTTTTGAATGTACAATGAAGGCCACATTACAAAGTGATAACTCTGTAAAGCATGATGCTACTACAACTTGGGCAACAAAGAGCAAGTCCAATGGTAAAAACTCTTAAACATATTTATACCTGAGTATTTATATAATCACACACATATTCAAACAGATCTGAAGCTGACCCAATTTATGGGAAGATTTTGGAATCTTCTTAATGTAGTATCATATACTGTTTGTATTTATGTGAAAATCTGTAAAAGGTGGGATTATGCAGGGAGAATTTAATATGCATATCAGGTAATAAGCATACACGGTTTTCTAGCTCAATCAAAATGTGAATCCTCAGTTTTTCTCCAAGTCGGAGATAGGGATCCATAGGCCAGATGTAGCCCATAAAGCCTTTGAATCCAGCCCTAGGCTGTCCCCAAAAGCTTCCACTCACACATAAGGGACATTTGGGGAGTAAATCAATTGCTGTAATTTGGGATGAGATGGTATGTTTCCCCTTGTGCTGCAAGCTGCTAAAAATGACCACCTATCTGGTGGAAATTATGCTCAGGAAAAATGTCCTATCTGAATGAATGTTTAAACAGTGGAGATTGGAAAAGCTGTGATTGGTCTGGTAATGTTCAATACTGCAACAAGTATGGATCTGATTAGTCCCTTGGATGGAAGACTACAGCAATTCCCAGAAACAACAGAGACTGCAGGAAAATGCTTTTCAGTGTGGTTGCAGAGGACTTGTCTAATGTGAAGGGATGCTTTTGATAGCAGAGATAAAAAATGAAAACTGTTAAATATCACATGTATGCAAATATAAAGAGGAATATTGGAGCACACTGTTTTGTCAAAAAGAAGAAGACTTATTCAGCAGAAAATCTGAGCTATTAATATTCCTGGGAGAAATGGTAGTGACATAATATAGGCTACATTTTATATGGATTATTTGGTATGTTTAAAGTAGTGCTATTAATGTGTGCCCTTGCTTTTCTTCAGGAATAGGAAGTACCAAGGCAGGAAAGGATGATGAATTATTGACAACAGTGGTAAGTCAGAGTGCCGGTACTGTACCAAGTGTTTGGTAGATTGTCCAGGTCCATTTGCTCAAAAAATATTTGATCCAAACGGAATCAAGAGTTTTCTTTATAGCTGTTAGAATAGCTGCTCAGATATACAATACCACAGAGTTTTTGACTTAACAGGAAAAAGCAGTTGCAATATCCAATGAGTAGCTGTGTATTATTTTTCCCAGTAATGAGTGGAAGGAGCAGTTTCTTGGTCCAAATAGTTTTTGGTAGAAACTACTGGGAATGATTTCTTTTCTGGCAGGATGCCATTTAAGGGATCATCTATTCACCCATAAATCTGACTTGAAGCTGGAAATTTTGATGAAAGGGAAATTCTTCCTCCTTGGATCAGCACAGACCAGATCAAAAGCAGCTTGGTGGTAAAATGCCACATTCAAACTGTTAGGTAGCCTTCCTATTGAGAAATGAGAAGTTATCTTAGAGGCCTTCTGAAGGGAAGGTCCAGACTAGATTTTTTGCACAGGCAGGCTGAATGCTGGGAAGGTGATAATGACATGAAAATGGGGCAGAAGGCTTGGAAGAATCCAGTTCCCAGGACTGAAGAAACTAGTCAACACTGTCCTAGATGGTATCCAAATGTTCAGTTTGTTTCCTCGGTAGAGCAGAATGAATGGAAGTGGGAAGAGTGAGTGCTGTGAGAGTTAGCAAGGGGCTCCTGGGCCTGGTTTAAATGATGAGATGCTCGTATGTTGTATCCTTTTTTTCCTTGCTGTTTGTGTCAAAATTCTCTTCTATTAAGGCTTTCCTTTGCTTTCCCTTCCCTTCCCTCTACAGTTAAGAAGCGGAGCTCCTTTTACAAGACTGCCTAATGACAAACTGAAAGCTGTTATTCCCCCTTTCTTGCCTCCTTCAAGTTTTGAGCTGTGGAATTCTGACAGGACGCCAACAAACAAAGATGGCGGCAGTGAGCAGACCCGGCTTGGCCACCCGCACAGAACTACCAGTCCTGACGGCAATGGCAGTGGGAGTTCTGACAAAGTAAGAGACTCAGAAATAAAGTAATATTGCATATAGTTTCATTTATTCTTTAGTAGGCTGCCAGAGCCTTACACCCGTCCTATGCAGAGCAAGGAGAATGGTGGAAGCAGTCTTTGCCTCCCTATCCACACACCCTGTGTCTTTCATTTTTTCACCCGCAACATTTTGCAATGTGAAGGAAGGAGAGTGGAGAAGTGTCTGGATAGCTCATGGGTCCTCAGACTACGGCCCGCGGGACGGATCCGGCCCACCATGCCGATTTACTCGGCCCACGCCGCTGCCTGGCCATGCGGGCGGAAGGTGGTGGCTTGCTCACTCAGAGATGGCTTTGGACTCGTTCTCTCTGCGCAGGTGAGCCACCACCCCCGTCCCCTGCCCACGCTGACGCCGCCTCGCACACGCCCGACGATGCCTCACCGGCCCTTCGCGCCCAGGCCCCCTCTCCTCACTGGCCCACTCGGGGTTGCCGCCACCTTTCAGCTGGCCCCCTGTTGAAAAAGTTTGAGGACCCCTGGGATAGGTGGTATCCTGGCCACTCCAGTCACCGCCCTTCCCTACACCATGACCTACTTGCTTCTCCCCCTCTCGGAGGTCAGCTCACTGGTGACTTGGAGGGGAACCAGTGGAGGTCTTTCTGCACCAGCAACAAGAGGACAGGGGACCTGAGTCAGTTCTCCGATTCCCCACTTTGAGGGCAGAGATCTTTGCCACAGGGGAGCCAAACGGCACTTCTGAGGCTGCCTAGGAGTCGGAATCACGCCTTGCAACACACGGGGTTGACGCCGGCGCTGCTTGCCCACCGGCGGAATGGAGAGTGCTGACTGATTCGGTATTCCATCCCTTCTGCAGCCCCTGAACATGCATCTGCTTTGCACTGAAGGCTGGATGGGAGGAAATGGAAATCTACTCCGGCAAAGTTAGATTTAGCCCATTGTCTTGTTCTCCTTTATCTCAAAGGACCTTTTGAAGTTTTGCAGGGTATGTGAGATCTTTCAAAGCAACATACTGCACTTTCTAGTGCTTAAATATACTATAGAGATTTTTCCTGTATTCTCTAGTCCTATACTTGCTTACCTAGAGGTAAGTCCCATAGATTCCAGTGTAGCTTACCTCTAAGTAAAGATGTACAAGGTCGTCTTGTGTTGACCTTAGAAAAGCAAGGGGCACACAGGAGGAAAGGAAATAGCATTTACTCAGTGCATTTTCTGAGGAAAAAGTATAAACTTTACTTGCAACATAAAAGCAATTGAAGCCCATGCACAATCAGCAAGAAATTGGTGATTTAAAATAAAAAATCACACTGGAATTCTTCTTATGGAAAACTCCGACCAACAAACATAGGCTTATCCTAACTTAACTCACAAGCCGTGAACTAGAGAATACTTTCCCAGTATGACAGTATTCATGCACATTTGCTGAACTTGCAATATGTTAACGTATTTCAAGGAAAAAAACCTGAAAATCGTTTTCTGCTCAAAATTTAAATTGAGACTGTTATTCGCCTACATGCCTATTTTGGGCTTGTGCCATCTCTATATACACTTCATGGGCAGGGAATACTATTCTAAAAGCGATCAGTTGTTGGGAAACAAGCCACCAACCACTCAGAAAAGAACTCGCCGCATGAACAGTGGATGAACTAAGCAAGCCTTCCCAATCCCAGACTGGGTGACTTTGGGCCAGTCACAGACCCTCAGCCCAGCCTACCTCACAGGGTTGTTGTTGTGGGGGTAAGATTGAGAACAGCAGGAGAATGATGCAAGCCACTGTGAGTTTTTTGTAAGGAAGAGGGCAGGGTTTAAAGCTAATAAATACATAACTAATCCTCAAATTATCCTCCCCGTCTTCCACCCCAGTTTCTCCTGCCTTGCTGGAAATCCTGACTTGCTGGGATCCGACTCTGTGCGACTGAGCAGAATTTTCAGAGGCTGTGCCATGGCAACAGGCACTTCCTCTCGGATGGCGATCACCAGGTGACCGGGGGTGACGGTGCCGTCCTTGTCCCCGCTACCAGTCCCCAGCGCTGCTTCCTTCTCCCCCTGCTCTTCTGAAGGGGCAGCATAAGAATGCCACTGCGCCAAAAATGCAAGATCTGCAGATTTTATTCTCGATGTGATGCAATTGTAATTGCAGGTGAAAAATGTCTGGCCATCACTAAAGGCTGCTTAGAGAATATCACCGTTGTTGACTAGGAATCTGAGTCCAGACATCCAGAATCTTAAGTCCAATGACTCTAAGAATCGTGCCCCTCTGGCTCTCAGATGGTCCTAAAATGAGGTCATGCTTTTAAAAGTCACGTGAATTGCCTGACTCTTGCTGCCGCACAAGTCACATTTTTTCCTGTATAAACACTTAGTGGCTTGAACGTGTACTGAAGTGAACTGGAACTAATGGTCCCATTTTGCAAATACTGGTCAAAAGGTTTAGTTAAAGCGGTATTTCTATTTCTTTTCCCAGGCATCTTTGAATAGAGGTTCTAGACCTATTAAACTGTCAACCTTTGCAAGAAGACCACCTACTCCCTCCAATTCAATCAACTTCAACCACTCTCCCCACTCCTCTGGTGGATCCAACAGTATAGGAGTTAGCAGGCATGGTGGAGAAATGAATAACAAATCAGGTAATTACATATGTAATCTAAATATAACCAAGTATAATGTTTGAAGTGACTCGAATATTCAAGCAAAATCTGCATTAGATGCAAAGTTAATATGTTGGTTTTAAAACATCGAATCTACTTTCTGCAAATGCAGGTTTCACTTATCTGAGCCAGTATCCCTTTTAGTTTAAAGTTTGGGGCTGAGCTTGCATTTTATTTCAAGGTGTCTTGAAAGAGGCCCATCTGTGTCTCGGTGCTTAGAATTCTGGCAGGGTTTCTGTGTCTTTAAGAACTGCATAACAAGCAGAAAGCCAGAAAGTAAAGCTTTTCCTAGCACTTCATCTGCTGAAATTCTGCTTGCTAAGTTTTTCCCAGTCTAAAGATAGTGATGGGAAAAGATTTCCTTGATGGCTTTGTGCTTGCTTAAAGGCAGGAAGCCCTTTCAGGACAAAAAACTGGCAAACCTAGGCCTGATCTGGAAGGACTTGTACTTTGAGCCTTCTCAACTTTCCATTGCAGAGCGGGAAAAGCACATCTTAATAGAAGTAGGTAGATAAGATCAGTTGGCAGTGGGACATTAAAGCCTTAGTTGCGCGTTGTGACAATGCAGAGTTGTTGTGTTTCTTAACCTGGCTTGTTGGATGCTGTCAGCTCAGTTGCTCCTGTTGCATTTAACTATACGGGGCCACTTTGTCCCTTGGCTGTTTATTGTGAAGTCTGAACCCTGAACTCTGGTTGAGAGGGACTACCCAGAGTTAGAACCTGGGACTTTCTCTCTCCCACAACAGAAGCAGTTGAGCGCCCAGGAGCCAGCACGTTCACTTTCTCCCAATTGTTCACAAAACCCAGAGTATAAGAACACCCTGGGGCATCATGGCATTTGCACAGTTTACCAGGTCATTGTGCTGCCACAACTTTCCTCTTTTTGTGCTTCAAAATTGGTTTCCCCTGCATCCACTCTGATCTGTTGTGGGTCAGTACAAAGTCCTGTTTGCTTTAGAAGAAAAAGGAGAGTGCAGGATGAGATGTGGACTGAGGACGGGGCAGAAGGAGAGAACTTGTGACTGTATCCTTTCTCACAGTGGTTAAAGAGGGTGGATCTCTCAGGTTACCCCCTGTGAATCATAAATGGAGAATATGAGTGTGGTCAGAAATTCTGTAAGAACACCAGAAAGTTAAAGGAAGAGTGGGCTCCATATGTTCTAATCAGTTACTAGTGATGGAAATAGTCCATCGCACAGGTTCAGTGCAACTATTCACTTAACTTGATCATGGTGATCCGGGATCAGAAATATACTTTCATCACCCTTGGTTCAGCTGCCGCTTGTCTTCAAGCCTTCCCATACTCATTGTAATAGATACTCTGGTTTCTCGTATATATGTTATTTTTTAAAAGTTCAGATTCCTTGAGTTTCAACAGTAGTTTCAAGTAGTGATGCATGTCCACATGATCATAGCAAAGACAGGGCCACTGAGACATGAGAGCCTCTTCAGGGAAGCTCTAAGACTTTCAGAAGTACAGAAGTACAACTCCTCACAATCATAGCCCGATGAGGACTGAAAATGCTTGGAAGCCACGGATCGTTGGCTGGCATTTGGAAAAAAAAAGGAAAATGGGGTGAGGAGAATGAAACAGCCTGCCGGAAGGACTGGCACCCTGAAAAGGAATGTTTCCACTAGAAAGCGCCTCTACACCTGCACCTTGTGTTGCAGGTCCTTCTTGTACTGTGTAACTCTAAAAATTGAAAATTGGCTTGTCCGTGTTCTTTCCAGACCCAAACACAGAGTAATACCAGTGTGATGCTATGAATATGTTCTCATTAGTTTTCAGCAGCAAGACTGTCAGGCAGTTTTCGGGAGCTGGCCAGAAGGGAATAGTGAAAAACGTAGTAGTTACTCGCTTAAGTGCTGGTTGTCCGTTTAAAAAAGAAACATGTGTTGGCTTTGCAAGGCAGTTATTAACTAAAAGGTGGATTAATCATTTATAGTGTTTTACAAAATGTGCATTACTTCAGTCTTGTACGTAGGCCCAAAAAAGTTACCAGCCTGTTTGAAACAAAAACCTATTAGCTGGCATTCCTAGCCTTTGTCCATAGCCCAGATGGAAAAGCAGGCTGTTCACCTCTTTGAGCACACTTCCTTGCCTACATGGCAGCCCTGGTCCCTTGTGGCTACTTACCATCCAGAAAGTGGTTAAACACAAGGCTGCATTAAGCCCTTTCACTATCTGATTTCATATTGGTTAAATAAATAACGTGCGATAATACTTACAAAGTTAAGCTTTAATCCATTCAATTATTATGTCAGAGTCTTTGTCCTCAACACTGATTAGCTTAGGATGAGACCCCAGCTTGCCAGCGGCCCCTGTAAAGCAAAGCAAGATGACATTAACTATTTTATGACCAACTTACCTGTGTGTCACAACAACCTTGGCTGGCATAAACCTGACATGTCCTGCTCTTTTTGAGCCATGGGCGGTTCTGATGTTGTTGGTCTCCAACTTCCATTAGCCCCAGCCAACAAGGCCAATGGGCAGGAAGATAGGAGTTGTACTCCCCAAATATCTGGAGAGCCAAACTTCTATTTCAGACCTTTCTTTCTGTGTATCCTGGAAGCTTCTTTTAATTTTTTCTCAGAGCCTACTTTTCGAACTTATTTATTTACATGCTCTTTGTATACCTGCCCTGGATCTGATTCCACCTTATATGTGAAACCTTCAAATGCTGCTTAGCTTTGAAGGCAATTAAAACATGCCATGCATAAATTTACAGTTAGATACTCCCTCTCACATGTACACACAAAGACGCACACACACTCACACAAAACCGAGATCCTGCTTTATTCTCCTTTCTATTATTTTTCAAAAGTACACGTTACAAAATTCACCTTCCTCACATAAAGAAACAAGATATTCTTTTATTTGCCAACAGATACTTGAAAACGTAGAAACAGCATTTCTTTGTTTTTTTAATAAATGAATAAAAGTTTCAACCTATTTGGATTGTTTTTTAGGTGGTAGTGCCGATAGTGTTTTGTCTCAAATTGCAGCTCAAAGGAAGAAAGCTGCTGGTATACCTGAACCGAAGCTAAGCCAACAGCAAATACCGGTCGTCTCTGCTCCTTCACCCTCTCCTCCTGAAGTGGAAAATACACAAATCATTGGCAATGGATCCATTCTAAAGGTTCTGAGTTCACTGTTCTTGTTGGCTATTTATTATTCTTGTTGGACAAGGGAAGTGATGAAGCACTCCTCATTTGTAGCCTTTTCATTTAGCAACATACAGGTATATGCTGCACCAGGGCCTGTAGCCAAAAAACTACATAAAGCTCTGTTTTTGAGAACTTCTTCAAAAAGAATTAGCATGTCTGAAGTTTAGCACTGTATGGAAACTTACTATTCCAGTCGTGACGTCAGGATGCCAAACACAATTGGGCACATACCATGTCCATTAAAATCATTTAAAAATCCATTTAAAATTAACACGTTTAAACTATATGCTGGATCATAACCTAGGTTCATAAGCACAACCAATTCTTCGTTTAGTCTGGATTCTAATTAAAGAGACCTCTCCAACCATTTAAAGATGTATGGAGACTTTTCAGTAACTACTGAAATGCTGTGAAATGATGACTGCCAGAAGCCTTTGAAATTTTAGTGGTTCTTATTTCAGTAGCATATCCTGATTTCCCCATGCCATTGGAAAGTGATCAAAGTTTGTTGGGATGTGAAATGATGCACACATGTTCTGATGGTTGTTACCTGCTTTGGGCATCTTTGTCTAAAGAGGAAAAGCAGGGTAAACATTTTGGAAAATAGAAAGGGTTGTCCATCCCTGTATTGTAATGCCCTTTCTAATATTATGTAAAAATGGATTGGGAAAAAAGGAACAATGCTGGGAAATAGTCACACACTCCTTGCAAGTTGCCCATATCCAGCTAACTTGAGTTATGCCTTACTTGAGACAGGAGATCTGCTGGTATAGTCCAAAAATACTCAGTGTGAGAAATTTTATGTAAGGAAATACTTTATATCCACTGAAATACTCACCAAACTCCTTTAGCTCTTAAGAATAACTATATGGGTGTTCCTGGCATGGATCCATACAGGAAGTCTTGAGTACTAGTTGGAGGAGCAGGTCAGATCCAAGTCGTGCAGCATGTGTGTTTGTGGTGCAGTGCAATCTCTGCTCTTGAACACATGCAGCTTCTTCAAAAGGTCGTAACCGGATGTCTTCATAATTCTGGCTATATGAATCACCACAACGCTCTCCCAGTGAAGCTATTTTCCAAATATATTTCCGTCAGTAGGAACATTTTAATTACCATCAAGGCAACTTATATAAGGAGATAAAAATATCCAGGATAAAGATGTGCTCAAGCTCTCTACTTCATTTAAGCATTTAATTAAGAAAAAAGAACAGTCATATGGCACGGTCATATGGCATTAATAACAGGAATATTTCTGTATTATTGTGAACTAAAACAGAAATTGGATGGGAACAAAAGTCCTCCCTCTGAGAATTCTTCCACATCTAAGAGCACGTCCCCAACTCTCACACCATCACCATCACCGTCCCTGTCGCCCAAGGTCCAAAGTGCCGAGTCCTCTCTCTCCTCCTCTCATAGACAAGGGAGAAGTAGCGGTGGTTCCAGCAGTGGGACTCTGACGGATGAAGGTAAGTCGTCCCAGGTGACACAGTCAGCAAGTTCATGTGATGAAGCTCTTGTTGGCCTGTTCCACTCTAGAAGGTGGACCGTGTCTTTGGATGTTCTCCCTACAGAAAGCTCTGCACACAGCATGCAAGGGGAGAACCCCTCTCACGGGCATGCTAGTTTTCAATATACAGGAGATGTAACAGAAGTAGTAGTAGTAGTAGTTGTTTGGGTTCCATTCAAGCATGTAGTACCATTAACATATGGTCTGAAGTAGTGCGGTCCAGCAGAACTACCAAACTATCAAAGATTCTCCCAATTGTATAGCCTAGTCACTGCAACATACTAAGATTATCTAAGTAATCCCTGGCATATTAGTACCCTGACTATGAGGGTATCTTATGTTTTTTGATTGTCAGAAGAAGCAAAAGTCAGTCTCTCTGCATTTCAGTACTCTGCAATGCCAGTGGTTAGCTCAGGCAAATACAAAACCACCTAGATAGGACTTTTCCATCCATCAAAAAAGAAAACTGAGGAGAAGACAGATACCATATTGCATTGGAACTTGGGGTTCCAGGGAAAGTGGAAGGAGTCACACCTAAGTTGTCCCAAACAGGTAAAGTGCTCTTGCCGTTCCACAAGTGTTGGCTTCTGCAGTGTGGATGGAATGAGAACTGCAAATAGTGTTAGATGTTTGTCTTCTAAACCTGAAGTAGCTGGGAGGGACATATTGTTAAGCTGGGATTGTCCAGCAGGAGGTGATGAAGAAGCCAAGTCTGTATTTCTTCTGCATCTGCACCTTCCTCAGGAGGATGCGAGAGCCCAAGTTTAGGGTTCATGCAACTGGACTGGAGAATTGTTTCCTGCTCTTCCATCTTTGCTCTCTCAGAAAGGTCTTTAGAGGCTCTGAAGCAAGTGGGCTGATATTGCTGTGGGAGAAGGCCACCCCTTTTACTGACACTCTGAAGGCACCCTGCTGTCTCTCCCAAATGTGTGTGCACCCTGAGGAGCCAAGAGATCCTGGAGGACATAATAATCCCTGGGGATACCCTAAAATCTCTTTTCAGAGTAGCTTTTTGTCTACAGACATCATATTTGTGTACACGCAAGAGAAAAGACAAGCACAAAATTAATTTTATTCCACATTGCACTGAGGGTTTTGTATGTGTATAGCTGAACGTTTTTAGGGTAAATGTGGCTGCTAAAGTTAGGATACTTGCTAGAATCTTTTTGTGGGATTAGTCCAATGAACATGTGTACAATTCTCAACCATTCATATGGCAAAGCATTTAATGTAGTTTCCTTTTTTTATTTAAAGATGAACTCACTGGCATCCTTAAAAAGCTTTCACTTGAGAAGTATCAACCTATTTTTGAGGAGCAAGAGGTAAAAATTTGTATAAACTTTCTGTTTCTATTTGTCCTATATCCTCTGCAGACAAATTCAGCTTCTTTGCAGACTGCTTATCCTCTCGGTATTTATCCAAGGATCTAACTGCTTTTTAGCCTATTTCTTGTTTTTAATGTATTTTTCATTGCAAGTCTTAACATAATTAGCAATATGTTGCTCATAACCTCCTTTTCCTTGTACTGAATTGACACCCACAACTCTTCTGCAGACACACAGTTGTACCTGTGACACACCGTGCAGAAAACTGGAAAGCCCCCATGCCCCTGCTGGTTTTCTACCTCCATAACTGTTTTTAATTGTGACCTTTGGGTTGTTTATTTGGAACACTAAGGGTATTATCCTGTGGCTGCTGAACAGAGCATAGATGTCCATAGGAGAATTAAGAATTCCATCTCTGACCTTGGAAAAGCAGAGCAGGGGCAGAGCTGGGACTCGAACATTGGGAGATTCCAATTTTTGCTTTAGCCCTGGTTTGTCTTGTGCCAGTCCTTGCAGCCAGCATGGAAAAAACAGCAGTAGTGTGGCTCCAAAGTTGGAAAAGAGCTTGGAGACAGGCTTTTGGGGGCGTTCTGTGAGGCAGCTGAGAGAGGAAACGGGCTTCCCCAGCATGAATAGTATCCTGGCAGTGCCAAGCTTCCCCTCCTCGTGCTCTGGGGCAAAACACTTAGACAGGTGAATCAGCCATCTAAGTGTTTTTGCAGGTCAAGAGAAACATGGAGGTGACCTTTGTCTCTGTGTTCCTCCTGCCTTCCATGGGTTGCCCAAATTCTTCAGAGGTTACAGGAAGCCATGTTAGATTGCAAGTTATTTATGATCAGAAGCTGGGGAAGCGTTGACTGCGCTCCCCAACTCACCTTATTGCTAAATTGCATTCGTGCTTTACTTCTTTTTATCTTACGGTTGGTCCCTGGAACCAGGGTACTTCCTCCTTGGAGCACCTCCTCACACTTGGTGATTTCCATCATTCTTAAGTGTGGTGTTTCCAAGATTAGTGCCTTTTCAAAAATTACACAGTGAATTAAGCAAGATTTCAGGAGATAAGGAAGGAATGTGTACAGTTTTTTTCCAGGTCAGTGCCCCTGGAATACGAGTACAAATGCTTTGGGCATATGCTGCTTTCTGCCTTTCAGCAAGTGCAGAATAACAGTTTGGTGTTCAATGAACTGTAACAGAACCTTTTGAATGAACTGTAACAAACATTTTTAGTTCCCTTTGAAAAATGGTTGCACTTTGTTATTTTCTCAGCTAATAGCGCTATAATTATGATCACTTTCTCTGAAACTCCTGGAAACTGTTCCAAAATAAAAACAGTTGTCTAACCTTTGCAAAGAACATCAAATATACAATGACATTTAAATCCCCATTTAATGTAGCATTTTAAATATGTTTTCCTAATTGGTTCCAAAAAGGTCAGGATGTATTGACCTGCATATGGTTAAGTGGAACCGAAGCATAGATAATATATATCATTGATTCAGCACTTTAGGGCTGCAAAGTACTTTATGTACTCTCAGCGATCTTGACAGTAACCCTGTATAGTAGAACAGAGATAATATCTCTTAAGTGGGGTGGGGGAACAAGACCAAGAGTTACCTGAAGGAGTTCACCTACTGAATTCTCTTCAGATAAAGTTTAGAACAAAGAATGTCCTTAAATGTTATGCTAGGACATGAATGTTTCAGGCAATTGAGAAATTAATAGTCAATGCAGATCCTTTAATCCTTATTCTACTTCATCAATTAGAGGAGAAACTATATATTTGCGGTTTACGATTCCTTAGGTGGATATGGAAGCTTTCCTTACCCTTACGGATGGCGATCTGAAGGAACTGGGCATCAAAACAGATGGTTCGAGACAACAAATCCTGGCAGCTATTTCTGAGCTGAATGCAGGAAAGGTATTTGAGAATACTTACACTTCCGCAGCAAGCACTGGGGTTTAAATGTTAAGGGAAAGGCTTTTTGGTTTTTCTGTGTGCATCTGTGTGTGTGAGAGAGTGTGGGTCTATGCCCCAGTATAGGGATGCTTAGTGACTATACAGAACTGTTGTGATGAAGAGATGTTTTGTCCTCTTGAGCTCACTCAGGACACTGTCTACAATTGTGAGATAGTTGCAGCTTACAGTGGGCAGCTCTGGCCCATCAGAAGCCTGGCTTTGGAGCTTTTGAACCCTCAATTACGGTTGTAGGGTGGAAGCTCCTTGCCTACATTTTCAGCCCGCAACAGTGCCGTAACATTTGAAAGGTCATCAGCACCAGGTGGGCAAGGCCAGCGGGCACAGGTCTTTGTTACCTAGTCATCATCACTCACAGTTCCAGCAGGGCAACATCTGTGTGGTGACAGCAGCAGTATTTTCAGCTCAAAAACTTGTCACCCTGATAGAGCAGCACAACTGGTTCTGGGACTGCAAAATAGAGGAATTGCTAAGCTCCTGCCAGGTCATGATATATTGCCGGAGAGCTGTGTATAACTCCATGGGCCGCACAGTTGTGCTGCCCTGATACAGGGTATACTGTGCCACAAACAGATTGGAATGAACAAGCCAATTTCCTCTTACCAATATCTGCCACAGTGAGCTTCCTTTAGCATCATGAGGTATCAGGATGCATTCCAAAACATCCAAGTTGAAGTCTCTTTCTGACCGATTGTTTTAACATTGATTGTTTTAATTGACTGTGCATTTGCTTCTTGTTTTAACTGTGGTTTTCAACAGGGACGAGAGAGAAAAATTTTACAGGAGACCATACATAACTTTCACTCTTCCTTTGAAAGCAGTGTTAGCAACACAAGTCCTGGGAAACCACAGTGTAAGTATGGGATGTTTATTTCTAGAACTGCAGCGTCTGGGACAAATCACAAGCATGTGGCTCTCTTGAAACCAGATCCAGAGGTGGGGTTAGAGGCAATTTGCGCTTGTGTCCAGTTTGTGAGCCGCCCTGAGGCTTCGGTGAATGGGGCGGCATAGAAGTCGCCTAAACAAACAAACAAACACACACACACCATATATGCTAGCCTTCTTGAAAAGAGATGCAACAAATCAAGTTGAAACTTGTCCATGAAATGCAGAAGGTTGCCCTACAATGTTCAGACCACCCCTTCCTCTGGTTTCTCAACCAAAGGAGATACTGCATTGAATTATGGTTGACACCCGCATTACAAACGTCCAAGTACTTACAAATGAACTGCTATACAGCCTATTCATTTCAAAAAATGACTGTGGAAAATAGTTGTCACTGTAGAGAGAAAGGGAATGAAAGGGGAGAGAGGGAGGCCTCCAAAGCAGGACCTGCCCCATTGGATAGGGAAATCTCTCCAGCATTTCCTTTCTACAAAGAGTGTGCACTGGTGAATTCAGGGGGCTAGAGTTATTCACAATTTTTTCCACTTTCATGGGGGTCCTGTGCCTCTAACCCCCATGTATGTGGAGGGCCAACTATATGTGATCTGACTTACATACAGATTTGACTTAAAGACAAATTTCCATTTTCTAAGGAACAGAAGTTGTTCATAACTGGAGGACTGCTTGTATGTATTTCCTGTTGTGCTGGTCTGAAAGGCAGATTTGTAGCCTGAACATCTGTACCAAATTTCATTCCAGTGAGCAGTATGTTATTCTGCACTAAACATAAATTATATTGTACTAGTTTAAGCAACCTCTGCCACAAACTTAATAGCACAATGTTAATTAGTGCTAGTGCTGAGTAGGATAATGCCACTGAATCTTGCTGTTCAATTAAGTTGTTGCATTACAAACAAACTTGCAAACAGAATGCAGAGTGGGCTCATATTAAAACAAAATGCCTCACTTTGGATAGTCAGTATTACTAATAATGCCTGCAGTGGCTATGATTATCATTTGTATTATTCTTATTATCAGTTATTACATGCATGTCCTAACATTCCACCTCTTTCGGGGATCTTTTGGTGGTTTACATCCTCCTCCTTTCCATTTTATCTGCACAACAATCCTGTGAGGCAGGTTAGGGCAAGAGAGAGTCGATGATTGGTCCAAAGTCACCCAGAGAGCTTCAGGGCCAAGTGGAGACTAGAGCCCAAATTCCCCCACTCCAACGGGAAAACCGATGCACCATGCTGCCTCTCATTTATCTTGATGGCGATCATGTGAGACAGAAAAAGAAAAAAATATTACCATGGACCATGTGGTAACCACTAGAGAACACAGTTGTTGAACGCCTTATCCCAGATAGAGAATGGACATGGAACATAAGCTGCAGAAAACTCTATTTCCACTGCAGGACACAAAATAACATTTTCTCTGTAACTTTAATTTTTCCACTGATTTAAGGCCAGGCTTCTTACACCTGTTCCTTCCATTTCTTTGCTTTCTGCTCACTTTGCAATAGTGAGTAGAATGCTGAATCTTCCATTCAAGAGGTAGAAGCCAGTGGGAGCGGGGAAAAACTGAAAGAAAGGGATAGTAGGATTGGCTGACAAAACCATGGCTGCTGCATTTTCTCATTCAGTAACAAAATTATAGTCATTAGGAGAGTTGCTGCCATGCCTGTTTAATTAAAAAAGGCCAGTGTGGTGTAGTTGTCAAGAGTGAGGGACTGGGACTCAGGCAAGCTGGGTTCTTGTCCCAGCTCAGCCATGGAGCCAACTGGGTGACTTTGGGCCACTCTCAGCTCAACCTCCCTGGCAGGGTGTTGTTGTGGGGATAAGACTGATATCAGGAGGAGGAAATATGCCTAGAACTCTCTTTCTTTCTTTGTAAGAAAAAGGCAGGATAAAGATCTATCAATAGTAAGCAATAATAAAAATATAGTGAATCCTGATTCTCTTCCTCTCTTTTTATTAACTTTGTGTGATTGTACCCTTATTGGATACATTCATTAGCAAAGCAAAGATTAATTTAAATTTGTTCTAGCACTATTTGTGTAGCTTAACAATACACATAAAAGCAATTGGCTTTCTGTTTGTAGCACCTGGATGCTGGATAAGGCCACATGAACCTTCTTCTACTAAGAGGTAGTCTTTGAACTAAGATGATCTACTCTCATGAAATCTGGAGTGCAGATGACTAAATCCAAGCATCCTGAAGAGGTAGTATCAAGCAGGCCTTTGCAACAACCACCCAACAGTACAACAAAAATAATAAAATTAACAAGATCTTCTTGCAGAATGTGCACGGAAGATGCTGTGTTATTAATGTTACACCCTTTCTTCTACACTTGGCTTTAATGATGTTCTTCGTTGAGATGAAGTTAATTACACATGTAAGCCGTTTGATAGTTTGAAGGCTGTGGAAGATTGTCAGAAGTGAAAAGTAATACAAGAAGACGTAGAGATCATTTTATGGAATTGCAGGATGAAAATCTTACACAACCTGTGTGGGCACAGCGAAGAAAAAGAGCACTGAGGAATGACTCACCCAAGTGTCTACAACCTATTGGAGTCTGTGAATTGATTATGTATAATATGATAATAGAACAAAGAGAAGTATCTAAATTTAAAAGAAACGGCAGTGGTTTTGTGAAAAAAATTCAAGTGCACTGAGGCCTATTATGATGCTATTGAATTCTGTCTGAGGCGTGTTGCTCATTCGGGAGCAAATACAATTGATATTGATGAACATTTAAATCGTTTTGTTCTAATTGAAGGCAACTTGTATTTGGAACCAATCTGTTTTGTTCAGGCCTGGAATGTAATATCTGAGGGCACACAGCTTGATATACATTATTCATAACATTGGAGGCAAAGAACAGGGGTCCAATGTGGCTTAAGGCTAAAATATTGCCCAGGTTTCTTGGAGGAAGGATAATGACAATAATGCAATATTGTGCACCTATGCAAGGCCTCTAATATCTCTGACTACCAGATTTGCCCTGCCAGCAACAGATCCACAGAAGGCCCAAAAGAGTTAAAGTCACATTTTAGAGAATACTTCTGATAGTAAATTAGGAAAGAAGAGCAGTCTATAGAGGAAGCGTGCCTAGGAATGGCTGCATGTGAATTTTGCAATTTCAGTGAATGACAGGATAGTAACATTCCAACCTACTTGAAGGAGAGTTACATTTGTGCAAAAAAATAAAATAAAAAAAAATTGAGGGCTGCAGCATTGTGGAACCAAACAGGTACAAAATTTAACCAATTGCTTGGATGGTACTTGTAACAGCAGTAAATTATTTCTAACAACAACATCCTCACAGCCAAAGTAGTAAGATGGATGCTTTGTCAGTTACAAATGGTTTGGGAAGCTGAAGAGCTTGAACAGGGTGATAGCAGTGGTAGGAGGAACCTATGAATTTTGATTGACCGCTGATGTTAATTTATGTTTGAAGACCTCATTCAGCATCATGGATGGCAGTCAGTATTTGCTCTCCATGCTTGACACAGGTTCTGTGGAAAGAGGTCTGTTTCCCACTGCCCTCTGAAAACAAGTAGCAATTGAAATGGCTGGCATTAGCAGAATATCTAAAAATACAGGATGTGCCAAGGGAAAAGTTATTTTGCTCAATTATTCCTTATTGTTATATTCTTTTATATTCTTTCCCACATTTCCATCTGTTACAGGTGACAGTCCTCCTATAACCATTCCGTAGGGTCAATTCTAATATTGTAGCTGCCACTCCATAGAGGTTGCTATAAAATGCAAGAGCAGCTAACCACATAAATTCTCCCAACATGCACGAAGAGCTGCTCTTACATATGAGGGCCACTTTGTGGAGCTACTGTGCAGGAAAAAGCTTTCAATGGGAAGCAAAGCACTAGAATAGGATTCACATCATGTCCCCTTGCTCTTCTCTAACTGAAGGGAAAGAGGTTTTGCGTGTACCTTTGTGGTGTGCTACTGCAACCACTGGTGTGTGGAAAAGGCATGAATGCCATTAAGGAGAAGAAAGAAAGATTTGTTGATCAGCAGTTTTGAGAAATAACTCGCTGCAGAAATAAGTGTTCTCATATGGCTGGTCCAATCCTATTAAAAAAAGTACCGTGTTTTTTGCTCTATAAGACACACTTTCCCCCACTCAAAAGTAAGGTGAAATGTCTGTGCGTCTTACAGAGTGAATGTGTGTGCGCCCGATGCCCGGGACACTGCCGGCCGCCTGCACCACGTGGCACCACCTGGCCAGCATGTCCTCGGCGCACGCTGCTTTGCCCCCACCTCCGGCGCAGGTGAGAGCTGTGCCACTCAGGGGGAGCGGTGCGGAGGAGGAGGAGCCGCGGGCTTGAACCTGCCGGCAGCACGGAGAGACGGACTGCTCACCCCCACCGCCCGGGAAGACCTGCCGCTGCTGCGCCGCCCGGAAGACCACTGCCGGCACACTGCTGGCCTGGCTGCACCGCGTGGCACCACCTGGCCGGCACGTGCTTGGCGCGCCCTGCTCCGCTCCCCTCCTCCGGCGCAGGTGAGAGCTGTTAATCACAGGTCGGTGTGTGTTTTCAAATGGCAACCCGTCTTTTAATGAAGCCCATGGGGAAGTGATGGGGAATGTGCCTGTGATTCTCAGGAAGCTTTCCATGGATCCCTCCTCTAAAAACTAGGTGCGTCTTATAGTCAGGTGCGTCTTATAGAGCGAAAAATATGGTACTTTTAAATACCCTGGCCGAAATCTAGTGAAAGTGAGTCACTAAAGCTGCAGTTCTAGGCATAATTCCCAGAGAGTAATCCTGTACCCACTCACCTGAGAGTAAGTCCCATTGAATTTATGGTTTTATTTCTGTGCAGACATTTATACACTTGTGTGTATAAGTTTAATTGCTGGAATTAATATCTCACACTAATATTTATTCACACATATGCACACAGATATACTCTTTAAAATTTACAACCAATTAATGCATTTATTTACTTATTTATTTATGTACATATATTTTCTTAAATGCAGTATACAGACTATATGCTATAATATAAAAATTAAAAGTAGACAATTAAAAACTGATAAAAAAATAAGGAATATAAAAAGGTTCAGTAAGAAAAGTCAAAACAATATTAAGATCAATAGGAATGAATGGTGTTTATTGTGGTATTAAGATGCTTTTATAACATGCATGAACATGAGGGAGGCTGCCAGGCATCTCTAGGGAAATTGTCCCATAGTGGTGGCACTCCAGTGGAGGAGAGCCTGACCCAAGAGCCCTCCCTAAGGGCAGGCACCCAGGGTAGTTGTCTGCTTGACTTTTGCCCATCCTTATTATCTTATGCTGGGAAAGAGGAACATACTGGATCCAGGAGACTGTGCTTCCTTGGGAGAAGACGGCGACATCTGCTTTGAAAACCATGCTAAAGTCTATGCATATATTACCAGGTTTCTAGATAAGACGGTCTATCTGAACCAGTGCCAACCTGGTTTTGGGCCTAGGAAAGGGATGGGAATGGCCCGGCTGTCCTGACAATGAAAGTGATCTTGGAGAGTGACTGGGGCTATTCCTCTTGCACCTGTATAGCATTCAGTCGGTAGTAAGGTCATTTTGCACTCTGGACTTAAGGGGTTCCACACACACACCCCCTCTTTAGAGGCTAAGGATAAGCTGTATTGTTTCAAAATGTGGTAAGCCATTCATTCCTGTGGCATTTTGGGGCTTGTCTGCTAGGTAGTGCCCTCGACCCGTGCTTTTCAGCCACCAGTCTGGGAACCAGTGCCTGTCCACAGGAGATTTTCTGCTGGCCCATGGGAGGGTGGGGGTACATCCTGCTTGCTGCATCCTGGTGCAGGGGATGGTGGTGCTCCACCACCTCTTCCTCAGATGGCATCGTGTTCGCCGGGGGGTGTGCTGGTGCCTCCAGGGGGGCCGGCGGGGGGTGAGAGATGGCTCAGTGGGAGCCAGCTGGGAGCCACGCTGTGCCAATTTTGGTATCTTGTTCTTTTGTTGGCCTTTTTTATTGATTTCTGGTTGCTTTGAAGTATTTTCATTTTTTTGGTATTGTGTTTGGAAACTAATATACAGAATTCTGTATTATGTGTACAGTGCTTTTTGTTTCTGCCTCAGCAGTCCCTGGGGTGGTTTTCCTGTTTTTGCTGGTGCTCAGCTGTGGAAAGGTTGAAAAACACTGCCCTGGACTGTGCCCCTCCTTTGACGGCACCACTGCTTTTGCTATCAATATCCATGGTATCCTTTTAGGCTGTTCGACTGATAGAGGGTTATTTCTGGGACATTGCAATTCTGCACCATGGTGCTTGTGCTATGGAATTCTACAAGGTTTTCTCCACGCTGGTTTGAAATCTCTGTTAATACCATGGGAAAGGTGATCTGGAGTAAAAACACATACTGATGAAACTCTTGTCTTTCCATTTTTTCAGGGGTGATTGTGGGTATTCTGAACTGGAGGCTGGAGATGCTCATGTAATAGATAAAGTCCAATAAACTGAAGCTAAATCAAAATAAGACCAAGGTACATTTAATTCTTAATATCATTAAACAAGAAATTTAGATCTGGCACTCTCTGCAAATGACCAGCTTCTCAGTTTAGATGCACTATTAGAATTTGTTCAAGTGAGGATATTTAGGTGCCCCGTATAACTCATAGGACATTTTACAAGCTTTGGCTAATACAACAACTGCAACAATTATCAGAAAAATAAGATTTGTCCATACTTAAGCAAGACCTTAATCATCTCAAGGGCTTCCACTAAAGACTTTCCAGAAGCTTCAGCTGGTCCAGCATACTGCAGAACAAGGCTGCTAATGGCTATAACACAGTAGTATTTTAATGGTTTATAGTGTGCTCATATTGCAGTTTCTGGGTATATCTAATGGGTTTTCAGTTTAGTATATTTTTCAACATAAGGATAATGCCAGAAATATAATCCAAACAGATCATCATAAAATGGAATACACTGAGATTATATACATCCACAACGTATCATTTAAAGCATACTTTCTATAAAATGTCTGTGAGACCTCTGTGTAAACTTACTCACTGAACAATGTTCATTGAAATAACTTGAAAGCCCACATACTAATATTGATTAAAGTCTTCCTAAGCTCATGGAGCTGGAGTGAAAGCTATACTACCCACTCAAAAAAAGGATAATTCTAAGCTTTGCAGATAATCAAAAAAACAAAACCAAAGGGAGCAAAACAAGCCCACACAACTCAGTCCTGTAATAATTTAATTGCACAGAATATTGAATAAGATGGGGGAGAAACCTGACAACTGGGTAGGAGGGGGAATAGAATGGACTGTCTGGAAAGAAGCGGAAGGAAGAGGCAGTTATCTCTAAAAAGTAAAAGATATGACAGTATCTGGATAATTGTTCAACTGAGAAACTATTTTAAACTGTTCACAAAAATAGAGGAAAGAGCTATACATAGGTGTCAGTGAATAAATGCAAGAGTTTAATACATCCGAGACACGACACTTGTCCACCACACACACACACACACACACTCCCCAACATGGGGTAGAGGGGAAGATTCAAAACAGTCCTATGAGGACTCAGCGTGCTCAACAGTCATGGAACTTGGCACTTCATACTGCAATAATTTGTTGCATGTTTCCTAATTTGTTCGATACCTATTTTCCAAGACTTCGCACTTGGTAAAACAATCACTTTGGAAGATGTATGCTTTTCAAGGAAGTTAACCAGTGGGGAGGGAAATGAAGAATATAAAAGGAGTTTAGTAGTTAAGACAAATAAGTTGACTTGTGATATCACCATAAAATACCTAATAGTACCTTATATATTCCTAATTTATATTTATAAAGCTTAAGTTTTTCTCTGTATTGTTGTATCTGGCCATATCAATTCTTCAAAACCTGCTAAGCTGCAGAGTTCAGCTCTGGACAACAAAATGCTTTTTGCCCTCTGTAGTTTCCCGGATTGTGGCCAGTACCTGCTACATTTTATTAATAGGGACATGGACAATATCTGCCACCATCACCACGGCCCCCGGCTTGGACATCCCTGTTCTTTCTGATCCTAACTACAATCCTCACAGTAAGTGGGGGAAACTGGATTTGTCCAGGAACAACATATTTTTCCCTGATGTAATGCAAAGTAGGAACCCTCATGTAACTGGGTTCACATGACACAACCACCCCCAAGTAGGGTTTGGATATCCAAAGCAGCATCCATGGGAACCAATAACTCATGATGAGGCACACCAAGTGTGAATCAGATCCCAGCAAGTGTGCCTCTATGAAGAATGGATCCATCTAGCTGCTGAAACCATCTGGAATTCTCCACCATCATAAATGCCATCTTGTCTGGATTCAATTACAGATTGTTCCTACTCATGGTTCCCTTTGTCATTTTTGTGGTGCAAATATATTGACATCCTGATACAATTAATAAAGAGGGAAATCTGTTAGTGCCATCTTTGCTGCAATATGCTCCTAATTCTGCAGACAGAATACGGAAGTTGTCCTGATTTGCTGTTACTAAAACACAGATCTTACTATTTGGGAGACCAGAAAATTTTCATTCAAACAAATGATTTTATGTGGGTGAACGTAACATGTTAGATACACTGACACTATCCGCTTTTAAGGATAAAGTTACACTTTTTTACTTGAACCTATGATTATAGTTACTTGGGTTGTGAGCATGGAATGGGAACTTGGGCATCAGATACTGCATTCACGTGGTTTTAAAAGAATCCAGATTTAATTTGGGTGCCTTGGTTAATTTCTGATGAAATTATTATTTTTGAATCAGCAAGTTCTGTCCCTGGCAATATTGGATTGGTGCCGTTTGAGCAATAATTATATTCAAGTTGAGGAGTGCAATATTTGGCTTTCTGATTACTTTATGTGTGGAAGTCTACTGAATTGTGGGAGGCAGGGTTATTTTTTCTTAGTGCTTTATTTGCATTCAAAATGCTCAATTGCTAAACACACACACACACACAACAGAACAGTTGAGGCTTAAGCTTGTCTGGAAGCCTTAATTCTAGTTGTTCAAGTACTGAGATTTGGAGTACGGTATTCCACGTATTCAGAATAATCAAGTAGTGCACACTTGCCTGGCCTGTTGTACTCAAGACTGAGGACAGACTGGATGCAGCAGTGCATCCTTTCAAACCGTAAAAAAACCAGGGAAACGGTAACTCTCTCTAATACTGCTAATATGCTGGTTTTCTTCCTTCAAAGGGAGGAAGAGAAGAAAAAAAAGATATTTAAGAACATAGGAAGCGTGTGGGATTAGAACAAAGGTTGGACAAATGGGTCCTAGAGCAAATTAAGCCAGAACTTGCCCTGGAAGCGAAATTGGCAAATTTGAGTTTGTTGTACTTCAGGCACATTATGAGAAGGCAAGATTCACTGGAGAAGACAATCATACTAAGTCAAAGGAGTCAAAGGAGAGGAAGACCAAACATGAGAGAGGCCAGTTCCATGAAGGAACTGCAGCCTTGACTTTACAAAAGCTGAGCAGTGCCATTCAGTCCAGGGCATTTTGGAGAACACTCAGTCATAGGGTTGCCAGAAGTCACAGATGACCTGATGGCATGGAACAACAACTAACTCAAGCACTCAGGAACAAGTAGAACAAAGACGTATACTGCCATCGCTAAGAAAGACTGATACTGCTTGTCATTGATCGTGTTAGTCTAATCCTATTTTAAAGATGGTATTGAATTCAAATTGCTGGTATTGAATTGCACAGCTTAATGATCTGTGTTCAGAACCATCTTTAGGGTCAAAAGGCAGCGCCCCAACAGAGCTAAACCATGGAATTATTCTTCATGCTTATCCAGATGAAAAAAAAAGTATGCTGCAGAAGTGGAGAGACTCTATATTCTCTTCCATACCTAGATTTGTCACCATTCTTTCTGGCAAGCCTCTTGCCTGCTGCAGACAGCTGCCTGGCTGTGAAATGTTCAACAGGTGAAGCATTCTCCATGTCCAACTTTCCTTCTGTGCAGGAAGTGCTTTAGCATTTGAATGGACGCTGGCTCTAGTGGAGGAACGCACCACAGATGTCTGCCAGAAAACACTGGAAGGCAGGAAGGCCAGGCTGAACACAGAAGCATGTGGCAAAGGTCTCTGGAATATACAATAATGTGGAAAATGAGGGCTCTGGCATGCACATGAGCTGCAGCTGCAAGGGCTGCTTTTCCTGAAGGTGTCAATTCTACAGAATTCGGAGGTTAGAAAAACGATGCAGCTGCACCGAGGCGTCGCTCCAGTTAAGTGCTTAGGCCAGGTGCCAGGCAGAGCAGGCTGGGCCTTGACATTTGGCTGCCTGAGGCACCGGGCAAGACGGCATCTCCTCTCTCCCTGGCTGCACAAGTTGAATCTTCCGTCATTTCCAGCGGCAACTGCCCCTTTGGGCGGCAGGCTGGCTTCAAAGCAGGGCAGTGGGCCTCACGCCATGGCTGTCCGCCCGCCCTCCTGCGCGGAGGCCGCTCGCCCCTCGACCTAACGGCCGCGGCCGGGAGTGAGGCGGCGGGGCTTTCGGGGCCCCCTGGGTGCTGGGCTGGGTCTGCTTCTCAGGCAGAGACCCTGCGGGGAGGCAGGCAGAAACCGGGCCCAGCCAAGGGCCACTCCTGAGGGGGGCATTCCCGCGGAGAGGCCCGCCCGAGCCGCGTTCCGCCACAGGTGGCTTCCCCGCCGGGGAGAGCTGGCGGCGGCGGCGGCAGGGGGCGCTCCGGCGCAGCGGGCGGCGGGCGAGAGGGGCGGGCGGAGCGCGGCGCCTGCGCGCCTAGGCGGGGCCGCCGGGAGCGCCTCGCAGTCGCCGCGCGGCTCGGCGGGCGCCCGGGGAGCGGCGGTGGCGCGTCGTCTGCCGAGCGCCGGGCATGGCGGAGGCGGCGCTGCCGAGCTCAGGTAAGGGGCTCCTCAGGCGGGCGGTGGGGAGCCCGCCGCCGGCGGCCTTGCGGGGGAAGCCGCGCCGGGGCTGGGCAGCCTCGCGTGCCTGGACCAGGGTGGCCCGGGACGAGGGCCCCCCGCGCCGCCGCCCGGCCCGGCCCGGCGGCGCGGGAAGCGGCCGAGCAGTTCCCTTCTCGACTTCGGTGGCTCTGCCCGCCCCTTCCTGTGGGCAAGTGGATGCCGCCCGAGGCCTTCGGGGAAGAAAGTGGGTGAGGGCGGCCAAAGGTCCGGGGCGATTTCTCGCCCGGCTCCCCCGACGGCCGCGGAGAGAGACCGGCCGCCCCGGCGGCTCCCCCGGCGTGAGGCGCCTGTTGTCCCGCGGCCGCGCGCGCGGACGGGTCCCCTCGCACACCGCCTCTCGGCCGGTTTCCAAGGCGGTGGACGCCGCCGGAGGCGAGAGACGCCGAGGATCCGCCGCGGAAAGCAGTCGGGCGGGGGCGGGGGAGTCGTGATTCCGCCGCCCGCTGCTGCAGTGCCGCGGGCATCAACAGATGCGGCGCTCCTGCGAGGGGGAAAGGGAAGGGGCCTCGCGGGCGGGCGGGCGGGCGGCTGCCCAGTCATCGAGAGCCGGGCGGCGGAGCACGAGGACAGACCTCGCGCCCTGAACATGCCCGGTCGCGGGCCCGCCTGGAGCCCCCGCTCGCAGCCGTTGCCCATGGTTGCGTTGCAGTGTGGATAGACGGCCTCGTCTCGTCTGTCTGCACCAGAGATTGCGGTTGGGGTAGGTGGAGACTGGAGATCCTATGGCATGTGCAGTTAGTGGCCAAGGCCGTGGTGAGAGTCATCAAAGCAGAATTCTCTTCTTTCAATCGTGAAGCGTCGTGGTAAGATTGCTTGCAATGGGGAGGCATATATGCACTGCACTTTCTATAACTGCAATTTGTCAACTGTTTTTTCATGTCCTACCCCCATTTCCTAACCCATAGGGGTTTCCTATATGAGGTCTGTTAATTTCCTTGGCTAGACTGAGATTGAGGTGGAAGTGCTGGCAGCCTACCTTGCTGAGTGGGTGTTCCGTCAAAACAACCATTTGTCCTTTCTTTCATGCATATATTATTTTCTGGGTAGACTGCAGATTGGAACTCCGGTTTGTCTATTCTTAAAATAGTAATTACACATATAAAATAATGGCAGGGTATGCACTGAGAGTCCGATGCAGGGCTACTGCAAAATAAGCAAATTAAACAATGCGCGGTAATTAAAGCTTATTTGTTTATAAAATATGACTGAAGAATTTATAAAATACGTTGACACATTATTATATGTTCACATGCTGAACTACATGAAAAAATAGCTTCTGTATAGCTTATGGTTATTGGAAATAATGCTGCATCTTCCTGTATCAGTTGGCTGTGGTGATGCCAATGCTGCTTATTTGTTTATTTACTTAATATTTAGCGATGAGACCCGGGAACTTAAAAGTCTTTAGGATTAAAAATCATGCTAGCACATTTTGCATTGCTTCCATCAGCCTTTCCCCCCAAAGCCTGGACTCATATACCAGTGGGCTTATACTGTTCTGACCTCATCTGCCCTGTATTTTCATTTTTTTCTTGAACAGGAATATGCTAAAACATGTTTTTCATTTTCCTAGGTGTGTTAAATCCAGATGCAACTGACTTCATTCCAAGAGAGAGGCAAACTTTTGGTCTAAACTGGAATAATCAATCTAGATTGGAATTTGATTGTGGCTTAGGCAGAGACGTTATACCACCCTCTGTTCAACCCAGGCAAAGTAAATATGATGGTTCTTCTGCTGATCAGTGTACTTCTTACAGTCCAGAGCACCAGCGAAGATGTCCACCAGATCCAGCACTGCTCAACAGTATGGGTAAAACGAAGGGTCGCAATTTACATGGCCAGCGATGGCAGAGATCAAGGAATGATAGAACACATAGCAAAAGCCAGGTAAAGCAAACAACTGCAGGTTGCTCAGAAAATCTTGGGTGCTTAGATACTAGGTCAGTTCCAGGGCGAAGGATGAATCCTAGAGAATACAGTGATTTCTCTTCAGACAGTGAAAAAGAGGCTGCTAGTGCAGATAACAGAGGTGCAAAACCGAAGAAGACATATTTGATGCATTCACGTGGAAGAATATTGAAAGAGAAGGAGAAACATCCACCCGAAAGGGATAAAAGAATAGCATCTAAATGGAAGGAAAAAGCCTTCGAAAACATACCAGCAGTGGATCTGACTCAGTCAGACTCCTCTGAAGCATCTTTTGGAAAAGCAGTGTCTGATGGTTTTTCTGACAATAGCATTGCACGGAGAAAGTACCCTTTCGCAAATAAATATTCTCGAGAGCCTATGTGGAATAAGGAAACTGGCAAAAGGCAAGATACATCCAGAGCTAAAAATACAAAGCACGTTAAGAATGCATCTCTGCCACATCCTCCAAAAGAACGCAGTAGTGAGAAGAGGAAAGAAACTACACTGCACGAAAGAGGTCCGAACTTTGTGAGTGTAACACAGACTCAACTGTCTTGTGAGGCAGCTACACAAGATGGGAGAAAACCCCTCCTTCAAGAGGGATATACAAGTAGGCGCTGGAAAAAGCAAAATGACACACCAAAGAGCAAGGAAACTCATACAGGTAAACATTTGTAGTTCTTCATCCAGTTTGAAGGACTGAAATCCTAGTTTTGGATTCTGCTGCTTCTTTGGTAAATGTATTTTTCTTGGGATTTTGTGATATTATATCAAAATGTCCAAAAGGAGGTATTTTGGAATATATAATTGAGCAAAAAGGTATTTCATGGCACATGACTCGTGAGCATAAAGTTTGAATAAGCACCCCTAGGAGACAGAACATTATAGATTATTAGGTGGTGAAGCTTTAAACTTAGTATTTTTCAATTGGATATGGTACATAGTGGCCTTACTTGCCTTCCAAATAGGATATGAGAGGTTTTTAAAATTTGTTCTGCAGAATCTCTATCTCCTTGGAAACTTACTATAGGTTTTTCAGTGAAAAGCTCAAACATGGCTAAGAAGTTTCTGGGAAAGATATTTGCCCACCTAGACAGTTCTTCTCTGTTCATTGGCAAACTCTGTGTGTATTCCCAGATCATGTGGGGCAGCAGTAAGATTTGGTGGCCCTGCATTTTTCCAAGCATCTTGGGACAGGCCTTAAATTCCCTGCAGGATGCAAGGTTTTCTAGTAGGTACACAAGGTTCCACAGCAGTTGAATCAATGTCTAATGAAGGGGATTCCCAAAATATAGAATAATTTAAAACGAACATAGTATATGAATAAAATCACGTTTGCTTGGTAGTAATAAGTTAACTTCTTGAAATGCAGCACAATATTGCTTAGAAAGTAGCTACACTAACACTGTAATGTCAGCAGTACTGTTGTGTGAAGTCCTTTGGCTTTGTTTACTGCTGTGCAGACCAGTGTTTTGGCACTGCCTGCTGTTTGATGGCAGTTATAACCACACTGCATATCTGAAGGAATACTTGCAGAAAACAAGGACACCTGCTACAGAGATTAAAAAATGTGAATATTAGGCTGAGAGGTGCCTTTATAGGCAGTACTTGAAATATGAGTAACACTGCATTTTTTTTATAAAAACAATTGTCTGTATTTTTCCATACAGTGTTTACATTAAGAAAAGTTTTGAGAATTGTTAACTTCACACTGACACTAACCCAAAAAAATGTGTAGGATATATTGATAATCATGCATGAATTGCAGCAGATTTCAGCTCTTTGTTACTAAAGTTGTTTGCTGTCATGACACTGTCCAGAAAGACAGGATTACTGTCCAGAATGCAGAACTGCTGCACATGAATGGATAATTGAAGTCAACAGTGGTGTAGTACAGCAATAAATTAATTAGGCTTCAATATGCCTCAGGACTTGTGTCTGCTGCAGCAACCTAACATAATTTCCTTCTTTTATTCTTGAAATAATATTTGTGTATATGTATTGCAATCTCTCTCAGGGTCTCTGATAGAGCAGCTTACCTCAGAAAAATATGAATGTATGGTCTGTTGTGAAGTGATCCGTGTGGTGGCCCCAGTATGGAGCTGTCAAAATTGCTATCATGTATTTCATTTGAGCTGCATTAAGAAGTGGGCGAGATCTCCAGCGGCACAGACTGAAGGTTAGCATTTCCTCCTCCTCGCTTGATGTATGTAGAAAATCACAATGCTTATCGTCATCTGCACAGTTGTAAGGTGCTTAGTGTAAATACCTCAAATTAATTTTATGTTCAGGAAATTTAATTATAAGAGTGGGGTATGGGACTTTTTTCAAGACAGCTTTTCTAGTATGACAGTCATTAAGATTGATTGAATATATTTTAACGCAGGGCTCTTTTTTCCCCTTGCAGATGGTAACAGTGGTTGGCGATGCCCTGCTTGTCAAAATGTCTCATCCCAAGTTCCTAATATTTATACCTGTTTCTGTGGTAGGTGCCTTTCATATTTAGAATACCTAGCCATTACTTGATGAAGATCTGACATGTTTTTAACAGTTTCATCATGTTGGAATGTGCTCCCTTGTTAGGAAGATTGTAAATTTCCACTTCAGTTTTATGAACCTTCCTGTGCATTTCTAAGTGAAAATGAATATTTATTAACAATACTCATAGTCTACTGTATTTTCTTCTAACATTAGTTCTAAACTTTCTACTTTAACAATAGTAGAAAATGTAACACAGTTTCACTTTAGTAAATTCAGTTGTTATTTTTTCAGCAAATGCTGGTTTAATAGTTTCACAAACAGAAAACTCAAAAGAAGTTATTTAAAAGATGTATTGAAGCTGTGCTGAACTTTTCTGTGCAAGTGTTTAGGTGTATGGGTTTGGATCATAAGGTAAGGCCATGTAAGGAAGCTCACTGAAGACATGTTTCCATCTTTCTGCAGCTGCCTGCACCCCCTGAAACAACTTTCTGGAGGACCAACAGGAACCTCCTGAAAAATGTGAGATGGGCTGGTAAGGGATGGCTCACTTCCCATTTTGGGGTGATTTCACCAATCCACCCTCAACCCATATCTCATCCCACATTGTTCAGGAGAGTCTCTGGACTTTCCTTCCATGAGCTTCCTTCAGTTATCTTAGGATACAAGTGATAATATTTTGAAATAAATTATTTTCAAGCCTCCTTTTAACTAAAAAACCCCAAAACTACTAACTTAAAAAAAATGGAATGAGTAGAATCCACACAGTAGTAAGTACAATACTTAATTAAGTTCATTTAAAAAGAAGATAAACTATCAGTATGAATAAAAAACATACGCAGTGTATGTACACATGCACATATTTCATTTGAATGTCTTGATAAATATTTTAATACTGGCAGATTTGGTAAATATCCAATTGTGTGTATATGGGTCACTAAGAGTGCTCTAGATTCCAAGCGAATGGGACTCCTAGAGGAGCTCATAAGTCAATTTTACAAGATTATAGTTAACCTTAATATGATAAGGAATATCTACTTGACCAAAATAACCACGATGGGGTGGTCACTGACCTTGAAGCCAGACATCCTGGAATGTGAAGACAAATGCGCCTTAGGAAGTCTGAGCAACAACAAAGCTAGTGGAGGAGACCATATTCCAGCTGAGCTATTCAAAATCCTAAAAGATGATGCTGTAAAAGTGCTACGCTCAATATGTCAGCAAATTTGGAAAAATAGTGGCCACAGGATTGGAAAAGGTCAGTTTACGTTCCAGTCCCAAAGAAGGGCAATGCCAAGGAATGTTCAAACTACCACACCATTGCACTCATTTCTCATGCTAGCAAAGTTACGCTCAAAATCCTATAAGCTAGGCTCCAGCAGTATGTGGACTGAGAACTACCAGAAGTACAGGCAGGATTTCGAAGAGGCAGAGGAACTAGAGATCAAATTGCCAACATACGCTGAATCATGGAGAAAGCTAGGGAGTTCCAGAAAAGCATCTACAGTGGTATCTTGGCTCACGAATGCCTTGGTTCACGACCAAATCAGGTCGCGAACAAAAATTTCATGAAAATTTTGACTTGGGTCACAAACTCTGCATTTGGTGGTGACCAAGATCGCAGCCATCTCCCCTGCCCCCCTTCGAGATGGCCACAATCGCAGTTGTGTTCATGAAGGGACACATAAACAACGTGTATGATCATGGGCGCACTCCTGCAGGAAAGATGGGCACCATCTCAGCCATCTCCCCACTCCCAACCAGCACAATTGCGGCCATCTTCCCCCGCCCCCCTCAAGTGGGGAGATGGCCACGATTGCAGTCGCGTTCATGCTGGGAAGATGTGCATGATCGTGGCTATGCTGTGCTGCATCCTTCTTTCCTGCAGGAGCGCGCCCGTGCCAGGTTTTCATTGAAAAGCACCACCCCTACATAACTGTAATGAGCAGAATGTTGAATCTGATGAACGATAACGTGGCCTCTCATTTCCGGAGGGTTATGCAGCGCAGGAAAAAACAAGTGACTATAGACATATTTTTCACCAAAATTGACCCTGCAGCTAAGAGACAAAGAAGAGAGGAAACCCCTGAAAGATATCTCCCCAATGTCCTTATGGAGGCAGACCCTCCCTCAAAACAATAACCTTCCCCCCCCCCGCCCCCAGGTTAGAGTTCTCCACTGTACTGTACAGTACATTGTTACTTTGTTGTTCTTTGTCACTTTGTTTCAAATTGTTCTGATTAAAAAAAATAGTTACAGAACGGATTAACGTTATTTACATTGAATCTTATGGGGAAATTTGACTTCGGTCACAAACCAATTTGGGTCACACCAGAGTCGTGCAGTGGATTAAGTCTGTGAGCCAAGGTACCACTGTACTTCTTCATTGACTATGCTAAAGCCTTTGTGTGGATTACAACAAATTGTGGCAAGTTCTTAAAGAAATGGGAGTACCAGACCATCTTATTTGTCTCTTGAGAAACCTATATGCGGGTCAAGAAGCAAAAGTGAGAACTGGACACGGAACCACTGATTGGTTCAAAACTGGGAAAGGAGTTTGGCAAGGCTGTATACTGTCGCCCTGCCTATTTAACTTATATGCAGAGCACATGATGAGAAAGGCGGGGCTAGATGAATCACCAATTGGAATTACGATTGCCAAGAGAAATATCAAGAACCTCAGATATGCAGATGATACCACTCTAATGGCAGAAAGTGAAGATGAACTAAAGAGCCTCTTGATACGGGTGAAGGAGGAGAGCACAAAAGTTGTCTTGACACTTCACATCAAGAAAACTAAGATCATGGCATCCAGTCCTCTCACTTCCTGGCAAATAGATGGGGAAGAAATGGAGGTAGTGGCAGATTTTATTTTCCTGGGCTCCAAGATCACCGCAGACAGGGACTGCAGCCAAGAAATTAAAAGATGCTTGTTCCTTGGAAGGAGAGCTATGGCAAATCTAGACAGCATACTAAAAAGCAGAGACATCACCCTGCCAACAAAAGTGCATATAGTCAAGGCTATGGTTTTCCCAGAGGCAATGTATGGCTGTGAAAGTTGGACCATAAGGAAGGCTGAGTGCAAAAGGATTGAGGCCTTTGAATTGTGGTGCTGGAGGAGACTCCTGCGAGTCCCTTGGACCGCAAGGCAATCAAACCAGTCAGTCCTAGAGGAGATCAACCCTGACTGCTCTTGAGAAGGCCAGATAGTGAAGATGAAACTCAAATACTTTGGCCACCTAATGAGAAGGAAGGACTCCCTGGAGAAGAGCCTAATGCTGGGAACAATAGATGGCAAAAGAAGAAGGGGACGGCAGAGAATGAGTTGGCTAGATGGAGTCACTAAAGCAGTTGGTGTGAGCTTGAGTGGACTCCGGGGGATGGTGGAGGACCGGAAGGCCTGGAGGAATGTTGTCCATGGGGTCACGATGGGTGGACACGACTTCGCGACTAACAACAACTTGAGCTAATAGGAAAATTATTTAGGAAAGCAGACTATTCTAGGTATTTGGAATTAGATTAGAAAGCATAGCTCCAAAACTGTATGATTTTTAAAGAACTTTTACACATAGTTTTTTAGTACATATTTTAAAATAGGAAGTATTTAAAAATAGATTTCTACCATTTGACCTGTCATATTGATCTTATCTCCATGGTATATTCTGTTGTCACTATGGAAAAATTCAGCTCTATTTTCTAAAGAATTTAACAACTACCCAGAGAGCTTTGACAGTAGCAATTTAATATATATGTATAAAATAAATAATAGATTTTAAGAGTTAAAATGGAATACTAACCATTATGAATGTTGTTTGAATCTTTAATAGATGTATATTGATTTAGGCAATGATGGGGAAAAGCGAGTGAGAAGGAAGTTGTAGGCAAAGCTTGTAAGAAACACAGAAGCCTGAATTGTGTTTGTTGGTACATGAAGGAAAGTTCTGTGTATCAACTTGCATGTGCGCGCACATACTGGGGAGAGGGAAAAGAAAAGTGTGGTTCAAACTGAGTGTCACAGGGATGATATTTAGTCATTTGATCATGCTTTTACCATCTTCATGTAAGTTAAATAATTTGTAAAATATTGAAAGGATTTAAAATATTCCCTGTTAAGAACTAAAAATAGTCTCTTTTAAGTTTTAACTTTAGCCCTACTTTTGTATTTTGGAAAATATATAAACATTTTCTATGTTGAATTTCTTTTCCAGGTAGGGTAAAAAATCCTGAGTGGAACAGAAATGAAATTCCACATAGTTGTGGAGAACTCTGTAGAAAACGAAGATCAGCTCAAGACTGTCCTCACTTATGTAACATGTAAGTATATATTTTTAAATGTGTAGTGGACTAAATGACATGCCTGAATTCCTGAAATATTTACAGGTTTGGGATAGAGAAGAGCATATCTCATCAGATTTTTACAACGTTTATCATTTGTTCGTTTTCCCCTAGTTAAGTTTTTAATAAGAGACTGTAACTAGGACTCTGTAAGTTGTTGAAGATGTTACTGGTGGGGAATCCTTAATTTTATTAGAGATTAAAGCACCTCAGGATCATATAATTCTCCCTCCTGAGCTCCTTTTACAGTTGGACTTTCCTCAAACCTTTCCTTGTTAACCTGAACTATGGGAGCTTAATTGCATTTAAGTCTGACTAGAAGATCAGAAGTGACTTTCCCTCTGAAATTGTTATTTTATTTTGTTTCTCTGCCACCCAGTATCTGATACTGCTGGGAGGTTCACCACAATTCTTGAAGTCACAAATGAGCGATGAGTGCAGTTTGCTCCAGGTTCAGGAGAGATTGTGGGCGTTCCTTAGGTGTGGCAGTGTGACTCAGGAGAATGCACATGGCAGGTTGAGAAGTTCAGCTTTCATTTGGAGGGAATCCCCTGCAACTACAAGAGCTATAATGCAGGCACCGCCTATTGTGCAGACAAACGGGCTGAAACAGGCAAGCTGTCTAATGACTCAAACTGAACAGTTTCATTGCCTGTTCAGCTTCCTGTTTCTTGCTGCTGCTGCTATAGTTCTGTTGCTCCCGCCCACTACCGTTTCCATGCCTTTTACCTGAACTTTTTGCTATTGCAGTTATATGTCAAGAAAACTCATATATCCTTGAGTACTTTCCAAATCAATATTGAAAAGTAAACATGTGCAAATTTGCTTGATAATTTTTCATTAACTCACATGCAGAAATAAAATTTTATCTGTGCACCGTTCATGTGCATGGTTAATATAAAGTGTTTCAAATCAGCAACGCTTAGCCCTTGTCTTTATCAGTCCTGTTTGTGTTAAATATATGAGAATATCTGCTAAATAAAACTGAATAACATTGAAATGAAAATATTACACATACTGCATTTTAGTACTCTTTTGCATTTAGCCTCTGTCACCCAGGACCTTGCCCATCGTGTCCTGCTTTTATGACCAAAAAATGTGAATGTGGTCGCACAAGGTAAGGATATTTTTAAATTTTGGATTGTTTTTCACAAATAAGTTATTTTTGCAATGTTATTGAAGAATAAAAAATGAAAATGATACTTTAAAATATAGCATGCTAAATTCAGGAAATTGGCTAAAACTTTCTGACGGTCGGAATCTCCAGCCCTGTTTGCCACCTGCAGACCACAGGTGGCAAACAGATGGGCCAGACTTGCTTTGCATAATGCTCTTCTCTGGATTGTGGCAAGTGCTGTTAGCAATGACCTGTCTATTACTAGAACTGGAGCTCCCAGAAGTGTGCTGTGGGGTGTTATGAAGAAGGTTACTTGATCAGAAATGCATGAGAAATATATGAATATTTAATGAACTTTCAGCGGGATATTGTGATCAGGCTAATGTTTCTGTGGGTGATTTATGTGTGCGCAGGTGAATATAACCCCCATAGTCTATACAATTAAACCCACACAGAAATAGATGCTACCCTTTGTTGTGATTACCTAGTAATTCAATGGTGTCTCTGTGATGCACACCAAAAATAACTCTTCCTGTTGACTAATTGTGCCCCTGCTGTGTGAGATTCCCATTAAGTTAGAATGTTCAGACAATTCACAATTTATAGATAATTTTTGGCATAGCTGAGAAGCAAACCACAATTTCTGAGATGACCTACAAAGTTTTCACTTTTTTTACCATTTGTTCTTAAAATGTATATTCATAGGTTGTCCTTGGAAAGAAAAAATGTCCTTTCATTAAAACTAAGAAAAATAATGAAAGGTAAATATTGTAAGACCACTAGGATCAGGTTTTCCATTTTATGCTGCTTTTCGTTTTGGTAGTATGATAGGTAATCATTCATATATGATTACAATTCAGTTTTAGATTAGATTAATTGTGCTTTTCAAATTGCATTATATCCTCCTCTTGTTTAGTTTATAATGTACTAGTGTTAATAGTATAGTCTATAGTATAGTCACAGAATGGGACCTTGTTGAGCCAATAAACTTCTCATACTGCAAATCAAATCAAGGTTTCCGAAAAACATGTTTCATATTAATGTTTAAGCCAGGAAGGGAGAACAAAAAGAAACTGCTGTTAAGCCCATCCAGTACTTTTCACAGAGGTCAGTTCATCTTAAAGAATAATGAGTTGTATATAGGTCTGGCATTCTGCAAGCAGAAGGGTTTCTATTCAAGGAAGGTGTTGGCTCCAGGAGAGGGGTCTTGCTAGTAAGAAGAGAAAGACAATTTTTCCCCACCTCATTTGTCACCTTCTCAAGCCCTTTTCACACAAGCAGCAATAATTTGGTGGTACCCGTGGTGTTTTTTTTTTTTTACATCATGTGAGTTTTTATAAAATCTCTTCTGAGATTATGCTGAATCCTTTGCAGATGTATTTACAAAAACAGTATATTAATCCCTTTTTGCTTTAATACAATTTAAACCATTTCATATATGTGAAGTGGAACCAAATAAAAAATGGGTTTTATTCCAAGTGTTTTCTTTTGGAATAAAGTTAGTATGTCTAGCTGACTTAGGGATGAATGATTACTTACACATATAATCAACTCAGACAACACATTTGTATCTGAGAATGGATACATACCTATTCTTCTGAATAAAGGCTACCGTATTTTTCACTCTATAAGATGCCTGACCATAAGACGCACCTAGTTTTTAGAGGAGGGATCCATGGAAAGCTTCCTGAGAATCACAGGCACATCACTTCCCTGTGGGCTTCATTAAAAGACGGGTTGCCTGTGCCGGAGGAGGGGGGCAGAGCAGGGTGTGCCAAGCACTTGCCAGCCAGCTGTGGTGCAGCCGGGCCGGCAGCGTGCTGGCGGTGGTCTTCCAGGCGGTGGGGGTGAGCAGTCCGTCTCTCCGTGTGGCCAGCGGGTTAAAGCCCGTGGCTCCTCCTCTTCCACACCGCTCCCCCTGAGCGGCACAGCTCTCACCTGTGCCGGAGGGGGGCGTGGAGCAGCGCGTGCCGAGCATGTGCCGGCCAGGTGGTGCCACTTGGTGCAGGTGGGCCAGCAGCGTCCCGGGCATTGGGCACACACACATTCGCTCTATAAGACGCACAGACATTTCCCCTTACTTTTGAGGGGGGAAAAAGTGTGTCTTATAGAGCGAAAAATACAGTACTTTAAAGTTACCTTTTGGTATAACCTGCTGTGTGCTGCTGCTACACTTCTGTGATTATAAATAATGGTTTAGAATTTTCAAATTATGCAAAAGTACGTGTTTTAACACACTAAAACTGGCATGCCAGAAGTATTTTTCCTGATTAAATAAATTTCCCTAAGGTTTGCACTTTTATGGAAATATGTTCCTTCTAATTTAGCAAAACCCTCAGAAGAGTGTTTATCAAAACCTGAAGGAAGTTTCTTGCCTATTAATATGAATGGCCCTTTTTATAAATATATGCAATATCATTGAGGTAATTTGGGGGATGGGTTAAATACAACATTCTATTTGTTCAACCATTGCTGATGACTAATTCAGTTTTCTTTACAGCCATTCAGTTCGCTGTGGACATTCTAATGCAATTCAGTGTACTAATATATGTGGGAATGTTCTGAATTGTGGTAAACATAACTGTACTCAAATATGCCACTCAGGAAAGTGCCAGCCGTGTGAATTGACTGTAAAACAAGGTGAGTAAGAAATGGCATGAAAGCTTTTCTATTTTTAATACTTTTTGTGTAAAATTAAATTGCTAATAAAATTCTAAAATTTATAGACATCAGTGTGCAGGAGGATTATGTTCTCAAGCAGAGCCGTTGAGTTCTAGGAAGCAAGAATTTCCATTTCGAGCATTCCTATATCCTGTCTTTCATTGGTATTAGGAAGTAGAAGCACTAATGAAGTGGAATAACAAACACAACAGGAATAGGACCAAGGTTAATTGCTTATAAAAGACTGAGGACTGGTACACTCTGAAGAAAGCTCTGGCTCCCTTCACCTAGGCCAGGGGTCTCAAACTCGCGGCCTGCGGGCCAGTTGCCAGGACAGGTGGGGCACGGGGGAGGGGCCCTGCAGCCTTCAAAGCGCCGGCGGCACCTGGGCCGGCAGCGGGATGAGCGGCCCAGCACTTGATGTGGCCCAGCCTCACCCAGCCTCAACTTCCAGTGGCCCCCAGGTAAGTTGAGTTTGAGACCCCTGACCTAGAGAGAGAGAGTCATATACTGGCTGGTAAGCCAGGAGCATCCTGTCATGTTGTGTGAGCCTGGCCAGAGTGGCCTGTGCATAGCAAACCATGCTGCTGGGTTCAGACAACACACTGTCTGTGGCTTGCCTGCCTTTTGAAGTCAGTGTGGCTCTAACTGCAGCTCACTGCCCTGCCCTCCCTCCCCCATCCCTCCTGCAAGTAGCTCCATGGGGTCCTAGCAGTCACTGAACTGGACTTGAAGAAAGCAGCTTTTCTGCATCAGGGGAAAATAGTGGGTTGGAGAGGATTGTCAGTGAAATAGTGCTTTTCTCCTTCCTTCCTTCCTTCCTTCCTTCCTTCCTTCCTTCCTTCCTTCCACCAGTTAGTATAGGCAATATCTGACCCACGAAGATTCATCCAGAAAACTTCATCATCACTAAAATGATTCAAGTGTTTTATGATGTATCTTAGGGTGAATGACCAGTTGCTGTAACAGCAAATGCACAGTACTTCATTTTTTCTTATTTTATGAATTATAAACATAGCTAATGGTCAAACTGAAGATCTGAGTACCATACCATGTACAAGAAGCAAACCACGCCTGTCATGATGCAGTCCTTTCAAGTTGCAGGTCCTTTTCAGCCTCTTTCTCTTCTTTCTTCCCACCTCCGCATGTCTCCTTCTGTACAGAGTGCTACTGTGGGAGTACCTCTCGAGAAATATTGTGTGGAGCAAGTGAGGAGCATTTCTCCTGTCTGAGAATTTGCAGCAAGTAAGGAAAAGCTTCTATTTAGAACAAGAGCCTGATTTTGTGACCACTGGTGAAATTATGTAGTCTTAGAAAGCACAATTTGTCTTTCTCATTTCAGAAAGTTATCCTGTGGCATGCACAGCTGCGCACAAGTATGCCATCCCCAGTCTTGCCAGCTCTGCCCGCGGCTTCCAGAAGTAGTGCACTGTTGTCCTTGTGGACAGACACCTCTTAGTAAATTACTAGAGTTGGGGTGTACAGAACGCAAACTCTGCACCGACCCCATCCCTTCATGTGGAAGAACATGTGGAAAGTCTCTACCTTGTAGTAGCAATGGTAATTAGACTGTTCCTTGCTTATGTACTTAAAACTCCTTGGGACTTTTCAATTTTCAGAACTAAAGCTATTTTTTCAAAAAACCTATTTTGACTAAAAGTATGCCTCGTTTCCATGGTAAACATTCAAATTGAATCTATATAGAAGAACTTTATATACAAAGAGGAAGATGGAAAAACAGTTGTAAGCTCCTCCATCATTTACTAGATATTTATATTTTGGCACAACCTCTTGCATCTCCAAAGGCAATATTTTTTCCAAGTAAAATCTGAACAAGACTTAATAAATTGTGTCCCATTATGATACAGACAGCCAATGTGATACATGGATAGAGCAACCTTCCTCAACAGGGTACCCCTCAGATGTATCAGACTACATTTCTCAGCATTTCTGATTACTGGCCATGTTGGTTGGAGCTGATGGGAGTTGAAGTCCAAAGCATCTAGAAAGCACTAGGTTGGGAAAGACCGCAATTAAAGTATCAGATTTGGGCCAGGAATGCCTATTCTCAAATCTTCACTTAATTGTGGTGCTAACTGGGTGACTTCTAGCCAGTCACTCTCTCACCCTAACCTGCCTGTGACTAGTATATGAATAGTGTGTTATCCATCTATACATTATAAATGTGAAAATGTTTCAAAATGAATTTTGAAAGTAGTGTACTGTGCATCTAGTTTAATTTTATTTCTGAAGCCTGACTTCTATGATTACTTAATTTGGTTAGGAAGTGTGTTATTGCAATTTATTAAAGCTTCGGTTAAAATACAGTCTTCATTATGCATAGATGCTGTTCATACATGTGAAAACCTCTGCCATGAAGGAGAATGTGGACTGTGTTCTCGCACGTCAAAGATTTACTGCAGATGTGCTTTAAAAACAAAGGTAATTTGTGAAAAGGAAAAGGAACATAATATTGAAAGTAAAAAAATAGCAATCTCTGACATATGAAAGACTGAAATGTGTTATCCCTCTATTTTTATATTTGTGTCTTTTAATCTCACAAAATGTTTTCCCCCCATTGTCCTGTATAATGTATATACTTCTGTATAATGTGCAATCTTGGAATCCCTACAAAATGGTTCATCAGAGTGCTAGGCATTATTGGAAATGGGTGTATCACTTAAGAGATCATTTGGCTGTTCCTCCTCCGTTTTACAAAAGTTTTAAGGCCAGTGACCTCAACTTGTGGATTAGGCTTGAACCAATATTTACTTGAACATGCAGCTATCTTGAAACGAGGTGATACCCAAGTGTAAACTTGCAAAGATAGCTGGTTTTCCTACATTTTAAAACCTTGATTCCTAATGTGTATTTATCATCCAGTCCATGATTGATTCTACGTGTGCCCTGCTTTTAGGTTTTGGAACATAAATATATTTTCAAATTGGTTTCTAGGAAAATACACTATCTCCTGTTAAAGAGCCCTACTATTTTCTGTAAATGTTGCTTTCAGACAAAGAGGATGTTTGCGGATGCTAGTGTTTCTACAGATTACACATTTCTTTTCAGCCTATTCCTGATGTTTTTGTGACCCCCACGAACAACATTCCTCCAGGCCTTCCTGTCTTCCACTATCCCCCAGAGTCCACTTAAGCTCACACCAACTGCTTTAGTGACTCCATCTAGCCACCTATTCCTGATACATTGACTCATTTACCCAGAGCAAATTCTTGTCCTTAGGCACTTGAATAGGGTCTTCCATATATTGAAATTCCAGGGAGACATTTCAGCCTGAGTTAGTTCCTGAAAGCTGCTTGTTGATTGTGAAAAAGCTGCCACTCTCTTCATTGCCCTCATCACCTGTTAGTGTTTGATGTCAAAAACTGGCTGAGTTCAGTGGTCATAACAGGCAATTGTTATGCATTGTTACCATGGCACACAGTTTTTACCTGACAATATGCTCAGGCTCATGGTGGTAAATATCCTTCCTGCTGCCATTTCTTTCCCTCTCAGCCCTCCAGGCAGTATCTCAGGAGGCACTACAGGAAGGAATGAGGCTGCTCACACAATTCAGAGTTAAATTTGGTCAATTGTAGCTGTCAGATAGCCTCTTTCATACAATCAGGATCATGCCCTGAAGCACAGCAGAGAGGATGAAGGAACTGATCAGGCTCCCCCACCACCTCCTTCAGAGGAACTAATCCGGCACTGCCTACCTGATCCACACTTGGGCAAAAACTTGGAGGTGGGGGGGAGCTGAGTGGTGCTACTTCTTTCCCTGCAGTGACCAACCTGCTCCTACCCCAGAGAAGATACTTTGGACAGGAGGCAGGCATAGCAGGAATGTGTCTGTCTGTCCAGCCACTTGGCAAGAGCAACAGTGGGCCACTCTTACCAAGCAGCCATCTGGTTCACGCCTTGGTACCAGGTTTGTGTTTTCCAGGTGCATGTGACACAACAAGCTTTTGTGGTATGAGAAGCCATAGAAAAAAACATTGTCTGTGGTTTCTAAAAACAAAACATACCATACTAAAATAGCACAATGTAGTTTGGATGACACAACAGACCAGCTATGATTAAAAAAAAAAAAAAAGCCCATCGTGGCTTGTCATATTGTGTGAACACACCCACTGAGTACTTCATTAGAGCTTCTGAGATCAGGTGCCCTATTCACACTCTGCTGAGTCTCTTCATCCCTAATCAAGCTAGCTTAGAGTATTTTTGTAGTGATTAAAAAAGGCTAAAGTAGCATGCTTTATTCTCTTTGAATGTCTGTTGAATTATATATTTTTTTCTTTAGGAAGTTCCATGTGCCTCTCTTAAAAATCAAGGTAAATACTCTTAATAAAATTGCTATCATATTATGAGTATGAGATCAGGACTATGTGCAACAATATTTGTCCAGAAATCTATGTTCCCTTGTGGGTTTTAGCAGCTTAGATGGTTCCACTTGGTAAGGTTAGCCCTGCATGTCTTTGTTAGGCACCTTGGCTGGGGGTGGGGGGTGTCTTGTCTTAGATTGTACCAGGTTTCAAATCCACAGTACAACTACTACTAATTAGGATGAGCTTGAGCGTGGGTGAGAACTTTCTGCTGCCTTAGAAAGCCTGGGAAGAGTGTTTCCACCTAGCTCATGATTGGCTAATATGAATCGCCTCAGATTTGCTAAAGTCTTTTGGGTGTAAACCAGACCAGGGGTGGGGAAAAATTACCATGTTCTTTGGTGCTGACTTGTCCTTTCCATTGGCTGCTTTGGATTGGTGGCTTCTTGAGGTTCTGCTCTATTGGTGTCTGATGCGGTTGGTAACATACAGACAGGTTTAGTCAGTTTTGTGGTATTGCCCTGCTCATGTTTCAAAACAATACTTGCTCTTGTTCTTCTATAAAGTATTCCGTTTTTGTAAACTTACTCCCTATGAGCATTAAATGGGTGTGTCTAGTTCTGATTAAGCTTTCCTCTTGGTTGTTGCTGCTGTTTAAGGTTTTAGGCTTAGGACTTTGAAGTAGAAGGTGCTGGATTGGATCTTTGTTTTGTAAGCCCTGAAGGTGTTACGTAAGGTCTGAGAGTCACCTGGCTTAGTCTGAATTGGACAGAAAGGACTATGTTTCCATCTAAGGAATCTTTTGTTCTTGCCTACAGCTCCTTCCTTCACATTTAGATGTTCTGGTTGCAATTCACAAGGTCACTTGATTGAAGTGTTAGCTGTGGAGAAAGAAGGAGCCATCCTCACCTGTATTTTTGCTGATCATAGTCAATATTGTGAGCTGGATGTGTGAATTGTGGCCCTTGTCATTTTGAGGTTTTCCATACCTTAGATCAGCCTTCGCCAACCTTGTGCTGTCCAGACACATTGGGATTGCTGCACCCAGAATTCCCAATCACTGGCTCGGCTGGATGGGAATTCTGGGAGTTGCAGTCAAAAAAACTTCTGAAGGCAACCAGGCTGGGGAAGGCTGCCTTAGCTAGTTCAGAGAAAAAATGCAGAGTAGAATATATACTGCTGTATTGTATTCAGAATATACTGGTATATATTAAGGTTATACTAACACAATATCTCATGGGAGGTGATAAAATTCTTGCGCATGTATGAATTATACCATATTCCCCTGGCATTGCATAGAACTGATAAAATAAACCATTTTTCTGTTTTGTATGAGGCATCATTAAATTTGTCATATGTTAGATTAGAAGCAAAAGGTCCATGTCTTAGAATTCAAATGTGCAAGAAATGTTGACTATATAATAGTTTTCTTTTGAATGGAAAGGCATCTTGTCCATGAATATTACATTATCCTGTCAGTGTGGTTTTCTTTCTGCATGTTTTGAATACAATCCTTACATAGATCTTGCAGTTGTTATTTGAATTAGATACAGTGTGGAGCCTAAGGGTAGATATATTAATATTCAATGCATAACAATAATGTAAGTAAATTTTCTGCTTTGTAGTTGAAGTTGCATTCTTGTGCGACAAGCGATGTAACAAGAAACTGTCATGTGGACGACACAAGTGTACTGAAGTTTGTTGTGTGGTAAGTTCATGAAGATGAGATCCAAGGGCAGCAGCTTGGGGAAAGAGGAATAATTGTGAACTTCACTTGCCCTTTGTTTGCAGCTGCAGTGAGGCTGTAGCTCTCTGTTTTGCATTCCTATTTTAAGATGTGCCTGGGAAACCTGGATAATCTTGGGAGTCATGGGTAGGGGGAAGTGTGGCGCTGAGGAAGTAACAAGTAGGGCTAGATTTCTTCTCCCTCTTCTGGTTCTTCCTCCAGCCATTTGGTTCCTGGTGGGCTTACCTTGGGGGTTTGTCCTTGGGGGTAGGTAGTAGAGCTGCTCAGTGCCAGGCCTTCCCCGGGCATGATCTGGTTATGGATGACAGGGTTGACTTGCTGTGCTTTACTGAGACCTGGGTTGGGGAATAGGGAGAGGTTGGTCTCTCTCAGCTGTGCCTTTCTACATACTCAGTACAGTAACTACTCTTAATTTGCGGGGCAGGGAGTCAGGTTGCTGAGGCTGGCAGAAATTCTGTCTCCCTGTCTAGGCTTCCTTTTAATGCAGGTACTGAGCTTGAGTGTTTTGTACCTTGTGTTGGATATCCGAGACAGTACCCTTCAGGCTCCCTGTTGGAGCTGATGGAAGTGGATTTGGTGTCAAAAACCAGTAGAAACCATTTTCTGAACTGGACAGAAGGATGGTGATCTGAAAGGGGAATTAACATTTGTCACATGATAGGATCACTTCTTATCCAGCTTTAGATTCTTGGTGTCCTTTTCACTCTGCAAGGATGGAGGACCTATTAAAATGCTCTAGCCATGGTGACTAATGGAGTTCAGTGGATTTCAGAGTGTTCTGGGAGATTTTCCTACTTGATGGCTCATGCTCCCAGCAAAGACCTGGTCATTCTGTAGAATGCAGATGACTTGGGTGGTAGACACAATTGCAGCAGAACACTTACTCCTGAGCAGAGATTGAGCCCTTAGTAGTACTCTGTGACAAGTTTGCACAGTGTTTTGAAGGTGAAGTTGCTCAAACCCATCACAAGTTCGACGCTACATTTAATGCAGTTCCATTAGTAGTCCAGAGTGCCATATGGTCCAGGTCAATTGGATGAATTTTAGTTATAAGGCCTGGGGCCAGATCTGATCAACTATCTGTATACTTGGCCCTTGCTCCTCATGGCTTATTACTTCTAATAAGGAGAGGATATCAGGTTGGAACCAGGAGGTAATAATCTCCTTGCGAGAGGGCATAGTGTCAGCCTCTTTAAAGGAGAGGCTAATTAGGCCATTTTTTAAAAAGCCTTATCTGAATGCAGATGATAAGAGCTATAGGCCAGTAGCCAGTATTCCCTTCCTAGACCAGGTGCTTGAATAGTTGGTTGCCATTCAAGTCCAAGCTCTCTTGAACCTAACAGATTAACTAGATCTATTTAAGTGGGCTTCCGGCCTGATTTTAGAATAGAAATCGTCTTTTGCTGAGAGAGGGACCATGTGGGTACTAGCTTTTTGGTTCTCTTGGACTTCTCAGAGACTTTTGTTACTATCAATCACAGTGTCCTTCAGGATAGGCTGTCTGTACTGATAGTTGGCGGCACTGCACTGCTGCGGCTCTGCTCCCTTTTTCTTTTCCCAGGCTCTTTAACCGCCCCCATATCTGTTCATTCTGGATGAAATTGCTTTTCTTGTTCTCAGTTTTTGTATTCTTGAATTCATCTTTGATAGCATTTTATTTATATGGAATAAAATTTAGAAAATTTATTTGGAAGAGTAGAACATAAATCCCTTACAATATACAAAAGTAGTTCCCATAATGCTTCCTTTCACTGTCAGATCAAACAGGGGAAACCAGACATCTGTGATACTTTTGACCCAGTAGAGCTCTGTATATGGAAAACAGTATTAGCTCCCCCCACACACTTTTTTTTAGGTTCCTTAGTTACTTTCTCCTTTTTCTTCTTTCCTCCTCCCAGGATAAGGAACACAGGTGCTCTTTGATTTGTGGACGCAAACTCAACTGTGGCATTCATAGATGTGAAGAACCTTGCCACCGTGGCAACTGTCAGAAGTGCTGGCAGACCAGTGAGTATGCAGTAGGATTGTTTGGTCTTAAGTTTTCAGATTGATAATCATTAATTTGTTCAAAATTCCATCCTTTTGTTCAAAATCACATCGTTTTGTGATTAAGCACATAGGGCACAGTCCAGCAAAGGTTAGTTGTGACTGAGTCCCACAGCATTTGCTCAGTTACAACAAATTTATTTCTAGATTAGTGCCCATTTTCTGTAGAAGTATGGTCTGTTTGGTTAGCCATCCAGTGGGATACATCCCCCAAGTCTATGCCCCAACCACTGTTGCTGAAGAGGCTGAAGTTGACCGGTTCTATGAAAGCCTACAACACCTTCTAGAATTAACAGCAAAAAATGATGTCCTTATCATCATGGGGGATTGGAATGCTAAAGTAGGAAGCCAGAAGATAACTGGAATAGCAGGCAAGTTTGGCCTTGGAATACAAAATAAAGCAGGGCAAAGGTCGGCAGAATATTGTCAAGAGAACACGCTGGTCATAGCAAATACTCTTTTCCAACAACCCAAGAGACGACTCTACAGATGGACATCACCAGATGGTCAACATGGAAATCAGATTGACTATGCGCTCTGCAACCAAAGATGGAGAAGCTGTATACAGGCAGTAAAAACAAGACCAGGAACTGACTGTGGCTCAGATCATGAGCGTCTTGTTGCAAAATTTAGGCTTAAACTGAAGAAATTAGGGAAAAGCCCTAGGCCACTCTGGTATGACCTAAATCACATTCCTGATGAATATACAGTAAAGGTGACAAATAGATTTGAGGAATTAGATCTGATAGACAGAATGTCTGAAGAACTGTGGATGGAGGTTTGCAACATTGTACAAGAGGGTAGCAACTAAAACCATCCCAAAGAAAAAGAAATGCAAGAAAGCAAAATGGCAGTCTGAGGAAGCTTTAACAAATAGCTGAAGAAAGAAGGGAAGCGAAAGGCAAGGGAGAAAGGGAAAGATACACCCAGTTGAATGCAGAATTTCAGAGAATAGCTAGAAGAGAAAAGAAGGCCTTCTTAAATGAACAGTGTAAAGAAATAGAAGAATAGAATAGAATAGGATATGGAGGACCAGAGATCTCTTCAAGAAAATTGGAGATATGAAGGGAACGTTTCATGCAAAGATGGGCATGATAAAGGACAAAAATGGCAGGGACCTAACAGAGGCAGAAGCGATTAAGAAGAGGTGGCAAGATTACACAGAAGAACTATACAAGAAAGAGCTTAACGTCCCTGATAACCACGATGGGGTGGTCACTGACCTCGAGGCAGACATCCTGGAATGTGAAGTCAAATGGGCCTTAGGAAGTCTGAGCAACAACAAAGCTAGTGGAGGTGACAATATTCCAGCTGAGCTATTCAAAACTCTAAAAGATGATGCAGTTAAATTGCTACACTCAATATGCCTGCTAATTTGGAAAACACAACAGTGGCCGCAGGATTGCACAAGGTCAATTTACATTCCAATTCCAAAGAAGGGCAATGCCAAAGAATGTTCAAACTACTGCACCATTGCACTCATTGCACATGCTAGCAAAATTATGCTCAAAATCCTACAAGCTAGGTTCCTGCAGTATGTGGACTGAGAAGTACCAGAAGTACAAGCAGGATTTTGAAGAGGGAGAGGAACTAGAGATCAAATTGCCAACATACGCTGGATCATGGAAAAAGCTAGGAAGTTCCACAAAAACATCTACTCCTGCTTCGTTGAGTATGCCAAAGCCTTGATTGTGTGGATCACAACCAATTGTGGCAAGTTCTTAAAGAGATGGGAGTACCAGACCATCTTATTTGTCTCTTGAGAAACCTATATGCGGGTCAAGAAGCAACAGTGAAAACTGGACATGGAACCACTGATTGGTTCAAAACTGGGAAAGGAGTTCGGCAAGGCTGTATACTGCCGCCCTGCCTATTTAACTTATACGCAGAGCACATCATGTGAAAGGCGGGGCTAGATGAATCACAAATTGGAATTAAGATTGCCAGGAGAAATATCATGGCAGAAAGTGAAGAGGAACTAAAGAGCCTCTTGATGTGGGTGAAAAAGGAGAGCACAAAATTTGGCTTGAAACTCAACATTAAGAAAACTACGATCGTGGCTTCCGATCCTATCACTTCCTGGCAAATAGATGGGAAAGAAATGGAGTTAGTGACAGCTTTTATTTTCCTGGGCTCCAAGATCACCGCAGATGGGGACTGCAGCCAAGAAATTAAAAGATGCTTGCTCCTGGGGAGGAGAGCTATGGCAAATCTAGACAGCATGCTAAAAAGCAGAGACATCACCCTGCCGACAAAACTTCGTATAGTCAAGCCTATGGTTTTCCCAGTGGCAATGTATGGCCGTGAAAGTTGGACCATAAGGAAGGCTGAGCACTGAAGAATTGAGGCCTTTGAATTGTGGTGCTGGAGAAGACTCCTATGAGTCCCTTGGACCGCAAGGAGATCAAAACAATCAGTCTTAGAGGAGATCTACCCTGGCTGCTCTTTAGAAGGCTATATACTGAAGATGAAACTCAAATACTTTGGCCACCTAATGAGAAGGAATAACTCACTGGAGAAGACCCTGATGCTGGGAACAGTAGATGGCAAAAGAAGAAGAGGATTGCAGAGAATAAGGTGGCTAGATGGAGTCACTGAAGCAGTTGGTGTGAGCTTAGGTGGACTCCAGGGGATGGGGGAGGACAAGAGAGCCTGGAGGAATGTTGTCCATGGGGTCACAATAGGTCGGACACGACTTCACGACTAGCATAGCATAGGGATACATCCAGTGTTGATACATCCGGGTTTTTTTGTAGAATACATAGGACTGAACCACACGAATTTTCCCCCTCTCTCCAAATAATGCTTGAAGACTGCATCCCTGCATGTGTTTGTATGTATTTTCGTGAAGCCCTTTCTGAAGAAGCCTACCTGGAAGATTGTAACTGCTGCTTGCTGGTTGCAGATAAAGCTATTCTGGGCATGATGTTCAAATGGGTGGTTGCTATGCAACTCCAGACACTTTTTGATGATGTTACGTATCTGGGTTCTTTCCAACATGCTTTAGGCCTGAATTTGGCACCCAAAGAATATTGGTCATCCAGATGGATGATTTACACCAGGAGGAGGATGGATGTGTGTCAACCTGGTGAAGATCCAGGGTTCTCTGTAACATTGTTTTATGCTTTATGTTCATGACTAGAAGCTGCTCCCTGCATTTGTGCAGAAGACAGGAAAAAGGCGAGCTGAATTCTGTTCTTCTTTTACACATTCAATTCTACTATTTTTATGAAAGCCAAACTACTGCCCAAGAAACCTGCATTGTTCTTCTAGTTTCTGTAGTTAGATATAACCTGAAACACTTGGTATCTCTGTGCAACAATTAGCAGGATTCTCAGGGGCTTGCTCATTTTTTTTGTTCAATGTCTGAGTCTTCCGTAACAGCCTTAACCAATTTACAACCATGGCTTTACTTATGCTCTCTACATGATGCATCTTTCTTTTTCTCTTCTGCTTTTCACCAGGCTGATTCATGGTGTCTAATTCATTTTTGTTTCTTTGAAAAAAGGTCTGCCCTCTATTTTGCTGTATTTATCTTCCTGTGTTTTATTTGAACTTTTAGTTCAACCACACATCTCAGAAAGCTGTTAATTATTAAGCATGATTAAAGTGAGGACTAGCTTTGATTTTGTTTTACTTCAGGTTTTGAGGAATTAACTTGTTACTGTGGTGAATCAGTGATTTATCCTCCAATTCCCTGTGGCACCCGGCCACCCGAATGTAAAAATTCATGTACCAGACCTCATGAGTGTGATCATCCAGGTAAGTCCTACATCTAAATTTATGAAAAGTGAATTTTAAAACAGAACTTTGAAACAGATAAAGAGCGTAGTCAACTGTATGGTATAAGAAATAAACAAATGCAGATGCGTGTTCTGAATTTGAAACTTAGAATTCATAAACTTATAAATTCTATGACATTTTTGTTACATTAATATGCAAATAGTCAGCCATTCAAAGTATTTAATTAGTAGTATTTTATTATGTAACATGTTGTAATGTAATGTTAAAAATAGGCATTTTATGTAATTTGACATAAAAGGGAGTTGAATAAAATATCCAATATTTATTAGTAGACTATTTGTCATTAATAATTATTTTTCAATTAACATGGAGTAGTGTTATTCTGGGGAGATAATTTATAGTACAAATTGAGTTAATATCCAGCTTGCTTTTAAATGCTTTCTCATAGTGCAATGAGTCATGTGGACTGTTTTTATCATTTTAGCTGTTTAAACCTTTTCTTCTGATTTTAACCTTTGGCTTTGGCAATGGGCAGTATAGAAATGAAATTAATAATAAAAACATTTTATGATATTTTAATTCTATTTTTATCATCTGTTTTATAGACTGTGTAAACTGCCCAAAGAACTTTGGCTGTGGGGCACTATAGAAGAGAAACAAGCAAAAACATATTTAAATAATAACCTAGATTATGGATATTATTTAGAACTCTCTTAACCTTTCAAGATTGAGTATGGCTGATTATTGTTTTTATTTCAAAAGATTTTTGTCCATTATTTAATCCTCTCTTTTTACTCTGTGGCTGAAGTGTATCATTCCTGTCATAGTGAAGAGAAGTGTCCACCGTGTACATACCTTGTTCAGAAATGGTGCATGGGAAGGCATGAAGTAAGTGTGTTCGTGCTTTATTCTGGGAATTAAATTACAGCTGTGTTTTATTTTCTTATGTGCAGACATGTTGGGGTGCAGAAAAATTTTCATTTGTATACATTCATTCTTTGTAAATATTTAGTAGTAACAGTGGATCGATACCAATACTATGTAATAGTAGGCAATCCTGACAGCTTCAAAATTGTAATTAATGTTTTCATGTGAATATGCCTATAGAAATGTGCAAAAGTATACTCATATATTGTATTGATCGTAAACTTAAATAAAAACATAAAGCAACAAATGCACATCATCCAGACCAGAGATATCAATATCACTTCACCTGATTGGCTATGCAGGGCAGATCATAATCAGAGCTCTTTTTTCCCCCATCTCAAACTGCATGTGAAAGTAGAGTTAATACTGATTAACTTTTGTTTCAATTTTGGCAAACTCACGTTACTTTTTTTGAACAGAGGAAATTAGAAGAGCTTACAAAGGATATATTATTTTAATTGCTTGGAGCAACGACATCATTTGGTGGGCAGCAAATAATGTCATTTCTCATTTAGATGGATAAGATGGAGGAGGAGATGTAAGCTGCCTTGAATCCTTTGTAGGAAAAAGGCAGGATATAATTCCAAAAATGATTGAATGATTGATTGATTGAATGAATGAATGAATGAATGAATGAATTTAGGGGAAGGAATGGTATAATGACTGACAAATATTCAGGATTCCTATAAGAATTCTAAGCATTCTATCAACACCATTTATTTGAAATTGGTCACACCCTCAGGATCTCACTGATAAATTCACATGTGAAGCTAAAATTGTGTGTACCTGGCATGACTTGGATTCCTCTTATAGGGTAGTTCTGTTTTGGAAGGACCCATCATGGTTTCTTAACATCAAATAAAGAAGGGGTGGCCAGTTGACTCCAGTCAATTCCTCCTTGAGAGAGGAGGTGGAACCTATCCACTTAAAAGAGGAGTACCCATATTGCTCTTGAAGAAACTTAGCTTAGATCCAGAAGTGGAAGACAACTGTAGGCCATTTACTAGCTAGGTTTGTCAAATATCTCTCACGCCAGTGCCTGATTTTGAATTAGACATTTTATTTATTTATTTATTTATTTTCCGATTTATATCCTGCCTTTTTCCTACAAAGGGCTCAAGGCAGCTTACATCATTCTCCTCCTCCATCTTCTCCCCACAACAACAACCCTGTGGGGTAGGTTGGGCTGAGAGTCTGTGACTGGCCCTAAGTCACCCAGTTGGCTCCATGGCTGAGCGGGGACTAGAACCCAGATCGTCTAGTCCCAGTCCCATGCTCTTAACCACTACACCACACTGGCTTTCACTGACATATGATAAACCCATTCAGGAACTTAGGATGTGCATAGATAATCTCTTCATAAGTCTGCCAAATATCACTCCACAGTGTGAGATGAACTTTCTGAGTCTGTCGTATGTAGAAAGTATGTCCAATTGTAAATATACATTCGGTATCAGTATCCGTCTCCGTATTTTTCCTTCTTGATTTAGTTGCGGAACAATATTCCTTGTTACCTCACTGACATCTCCTGTGGCCTTCCCTGTGATCGAATGTTAAAATGTGGAATGCACAAATGTAAGAGAATCTGCCACAAAGGAGAATGCCTCATCGATGAAGAGTGCAGGCAGCCATGTACCATTCTGAGGCTTCATTGTAATCACCCGTGCACATCTCCGTGCCATCCATCTTTGCCTTGTCCGACAACGTCTTGCAGCGCAAAGGTAGGTGGCAGCAGAAAGGCATTGCCGATCTCAGCCAATGATCAGGCATTTCTTTAAATACTGGTTTAAATCTCTTGTCATTTTGACTGATGGCATAGCATAATTTGTTTAAACATAAAGCTAAACTTAAAGCATTGCTTCAGACTGTAGAATAGAAAGGTGCCGTTTTTTATTTAAGCTGTTTTTGTCACTTGTTTTGATACAGTTTGGACTTTGATACAGTTCCATGTATCAAAGCCTCACTGGCATTTGAATTCTGTTGCCTTATTTTCTCAGAGCCATTAAATATTGTTTAATTCTCCTCCCTTCCTCTCTTTTTAAAATTTTCTATCCATTCAGTGAGTATGTCGCATACGTTTTGTAGGGGGAAGTGGAAAACTGGAACACCTTGGCCATTTCAACTACAGACATAACCACATCCAGTTTTAATCAAGGCATAATTAATAAAATGCATACTCCATTGTTGTCGGCATGAACTTAAAGCTCTTTCAGTCAGTTCAGCAGGCTGTTCGGCAGATCATTTGATTTACTTAATGTAGTAGTTTGACTTTCAATTTGATAACTGTCTTAAAAAAGGCAGATGATTAAATTTCAATTGTGAGAATAAAAGTGTTATGGCTTTAAATCAGTACAATTTAATCATTATAGTCATATTAAGGGGAAATGATTGTTTTTGTGACATAACAGGTTGAACTTCAGTGTGAATGTGGAAGAAGAAAGGAAACTATGATTTGTTCAGAAGCTTCAAGCACTTATCAAAGGTATGTTTAGGCTATGATTTCTTATTTTTCTTGATAGTCTTGTTTTTGTAGAGTAATCATAATTACCTGTTGCTTTGTCTCTGAATTTATTAATATGGTAGCAATTAATCCAGCTGTCCTAGGAAAAGCTGTTCTTCCTCATCTACTTTTGTTCTCTTGTTCTTTCAAACTGGGTGTTTATTTTGTTCTTTTGCTGCAATATATTCACTTCGTTTTACTCTTTACTATTGTAAGATGGTGGTTTCCTATGGGAAGAATTGTTTGAAGTCTGTATTAACTTGTCAATGTTTATGCTTAGTTATATTAATTGCAAATATATTGCTAGATTTAATATACCTTGTTGTACTCTTTAAAAGAAGCACTTATAATACAACTTTTAATAAAACCTGTCAGGAAACAAGTTGGCACTTTAATCATATTGTGTGGTATATAAGAATGTAATTGTCTGAATGGAGTAGTGGATGCTGCATTGAGGTTTTCAGTTGTCGCAATTAATATCAAGTGTTCAATCTGCAGTGGCAAGTTATCATGTATTTGTCAGGTATTCCCAATAGAAGAAATGCATCATTCTAGAATGGCAAAGATTTTTTTCTATTCTTAATAGAAATAAATTAAAAAATCCTACATTTAAAATAGAAACATAAAAATCAACATACAATAAACAATAATTAGTACACTACTGTGCTCCCCAGGACCAAGGATACATGTCACAAATGAAAGAAAAACTTGCAAATACTTTAGGATATTCCCCCCTTCAAAAATGTAACGATTCTTTTGATGACTCCAATCCTTTCCCTTTCTTTAAAACATGATAAATAGACCCCAAATCTTATTAAACTTATTTTTCCTTATGTGCCCTTTTCTTACTTTAATACCATGTTAATTTGTCATTAATAGCTATGTTCAAAACTTCTCAATAAGAATCAGACAATTGGTAATCTTATTTTCCAATTCTTAGCTATAGTCAGTCTTGCTGCAGTTATTAAATTACTTTACTATTTCTATTCCATTTTTAAATCAAACATTGAACCTAATGCTATCTCAGGGCATGAGTCTATATTTAGACTTAACATTTTACTGCACTGTTTAAAAACCTCTTTCTAAAATTTCATTATTCACATTTCCACCACATATGAGAATACATATCCGCTATCACATCTCCAACACAAATTGGAACATTTATTATCTATACAATTCAAGTGCATTAGGGTTAAGTACCACTTCCATACAATTTTGTAGAAATTTTCCTTTATTCTTACTGACATACGTTTTAGTATCCCCTTTGTCCAAATATTTTCTCAATCTTCCTTACTAATATTTCTTCTCAAATATTTCCCTTATGAGTATTCCATTTTGTAATGCATTCTTAAGGAAAGGATTTTCTACCTTTTTAATATTTTTATTTCCATAATTAAAAATAAAATCTATCAAGAAACCTTCTAATTGAGAAGTTTCTAGTTTTTGCCATTTTAACTTATCAGGTTGTTATATAATATCTGGAATATACCTCAATTGATTAGCTATATAATGTAACTTTATATTAGGGATGCCCAGTCCCCCTATCTTTTGTGATCTATACCATCTTTTAAAATTAATTCTTGCTTTTGAGAATGGCGAAGATTTCTGAAGCTAACTTTCCTTTTATTCCTGACACACCCAGCAATCTTTGCAGCACCATTTAAACACTTGTTACGTATGTCATAAAGTATTATTCTCTTCCAGAATAGCTGCTATTTCTATAGCCTCTAAATTAACAGATCCACAGCTTGGAGATTCAGTAGAGATAAGCAGATTGATTACCAAAAAGGAAATGAAGCAAAACAGGTAATTCCATATTGAAAGTGATGCGTAAATCTAAACTATATGCTACTGTTACGGGGCTTACAGACTTTATGAACCAGTACGTAAAATGTTTCTATTTAGGCAGCTTTTGATTTTATACCGTATGCTGCAGTAGGTCATAACAGATGGGTTGTAATTCTTTTATTGATAGGTTTGCACTGATATGCCTTTATGTTTTCATTACAATTTTGTATTTTATATTTTAGCATTTGCCCCTTTGACTGCAATTTCTTACAGAAAGACAGTAATTAAGTAAAAGAAGTAAGCCAAGCCTTACTTACATTGACAACTATTTTGACTGTTAATGGATCTTAGCATGTCCTGCAGCAGTTGCTTTTTCATACATTGCCACTCATAAGCTTTCCATCATCTGCTGTGGATGGTGAGAGAGGAAGTGTGGGGCTGTGGCTTGGTGGTAGAACACATGTTTTGCATGCAGTGTACCCCTGGTTCAACCCCTGGCATCTCCAGGTAGGGCTAAGAAAAATTCTCCCTGAATCCGAGGAGACTTGCCGCCAGCTGGCCTCAGCATTACGTGGCTAGGTCGGCCTGGGGTTTGACTGTGACCAGGAGAGCTTCCTGTGCTTCTTGGAAGCTCCAGTAAAAATGTCAGGTAACCTCAAACACGAGCACTTAAAATTCCCCTGTGACATGCCAAGTTGATAAGTCGTAGCAAAGATGCTCTGTCCTGGCTTTTTTTGGGAAAAGCATTTATTGGTATATGGGTGCAGTAAAATACACAGTTGAACATCTCTTCATTTGCTGTGTCTTGTTCCCTCTAGGCTGCAGTGCGATGATGAATGTTTGGCTCTTGAAAGAAACAGGTGGGCATCTTATCAATTATTTTAACGAGACTAACAAGCCAGCTAAGTTGTACTAAAAATACAGAGAACTAAATGATAATAAAAGTAGTAAGACAGCCCTGTAGTAATAATGGTAGTAAGATAGTTAATGAGGGGAAAAAAGAGGGAAAAGTTAGCAGCTTCCTGTGGGGAAGGAGAGGTGGGAAAGCCCATCCTTCCTGCAGCAGCTCACTGCATTTCCGTATGGGGAATGGAGGGAGCTTCCTTCCTTTGGCAGCCTTCTTGGTTTCTGTGTTGGAGCCGAGGAAGAGCTTGGCCACCCCATTTTGCTTCTACAAGTCCACTTGCTCTGCTAAATGGAATTCCATGCATTTGTTTGTGTGCAGTTCCTTTTTGCCAATGGTTGCTGGGTAAGTGGTTACATACAATGCCAAAGTAAGTGAATATAACCAGAATGTGCTGGAATTAATTTATATTGTATTCAACAGACTTCTGCCCCACCCTTCAAAATAATTATTTTGCAGGATTAAAACAAAATACAGTGAATAAAAAGTAATCACAACTAAGAACAAAGACAAAAGCACTACAGAACCAGTCCCGGGGATTAAAATATTAAAAAGCCAGAGGGGAAAAAATCACCTAACACCAAAAAGTTAAAGTCGGTATCAGACAAATTACCTTGTTGGCACCACCCCTGAAAATAGAGGTTTTGTCAGCCTATCTCTGTCCAGAAGTGGCACATGATGCCACAGAGGCAGCCCAGCCTTCCAGTGGGAATTGGATCAATGAATATTAGAGCATTAGAAGATGGCCTCATCATCATCTTTTCAAGGTGTCCAGAGCTGCTTCCCACCCCTGCCAGAGGTGCTTACCATCTTGTGTCTCAGTATTATAAACTCGGAGGAGCAAGAGTTGATTGCACATGTAGGAGGTCGTAGTTATCAAATAACCCCTTTCACATCTCCACACTGCAGCAATTGGAATGTGTCCAATAAAACAAACAGAAAGGAAACTGGATAGATTGATCTGGCACAGTAGAGGTGTTACGTATGGCAAATGTGAACAGTTTATTCTCCAAATGCTTAGCAAGTATGGTAACATGCTACTTCCAAGGTTCTTTGCTGGTCTGCATTGGAAAAGGCCCTAAACCACTCAGAAAAGATCTTTGGGGATGCAGTGCAGTGGTGCTTCTTTGCTGTTGCTTCTGCCCCAGTTATAAGCTTGATAAAGAGCTAAACTGTGTTTAGTTGAACTCACAATGAGAGTTCCATCAGTTGCATGCAAGCCACTACCTTACCTTCTGATCAGACTCTGCCTGTCAGGAAAGCATGTTTAGGAGTAGTTATGATAACCACTCAAGTCCTCTCCAAGAAACAGGACTTCAACAAGAGCGCCAGTCATGCCAACAGAAAACTCACCACTGGCACTCAGACTTGAGCAACCTCTGGGAATAGGCTGAAAAAGCAAGCGCTGTGCAACAGAAAGTACTTTGGCGATGACAAAGCTACCTACAGGCATTTGATGCTTGTGTAAATGAAAGGCATGTATTTGGCATAAGCTTGAGTCAGTAATTACTGAAATAATTTAGAGAACCCCATGTCTTGCAAAAAAGCCAGAACTAGATTTAATAGTGCAACTGCTGTACAAGGTAAAGACTGTAGAAGAATGGCAAGGATAAAGTTTGGGTGGGGTAGTCTCTTGGGGCATATAAATGATGGGAATTACTTGAAAGTTTCCCTGTGACAAGATGGTAAGTGTTTTGCTCAATAATATATGTTTTTAATATTCAATAATTAGGCGGTTTGCTGAGGCTCTTCATATTGATGATAATTCTGATCCTTTTAATGCTCGTGCCTCTGCACCCAAGTACAGTGACAGCTTGAAGGAGGATGGAAGGTATGTTCGTTCGTTCGTTTGTTCGTTCATTCATTCATTCAGTGAGAGCCAGTGTGGCGTAGTGGTTAAGAGCGTGGGACTGGGAGTCAGAGGATCTGGGTTCGAGTCCCCGCTCGCCCATGGAGCCAACCAGGTGACTTTGGGCCAGTCACAGACTCTCAGCCCAACCTACCTCACAGGGTTGCTGTTGTGGGGAGAAGATGGAGGAGGAGAATGATGTAAGCTGCCTTGAGCCCTTTGTAGGAAAAAGGCAGGATATAAATCGGAAAATAAATTCATTCATTCATTTAAAACTGTTATATGCCGTCCCTTATGCATGGCATATTTGTCACTTAGTGCAGTAGCTTATGTTTTCTCCAGTGAGCACCTGATCAAATCCCATGTGATGGCGGCAGACCAGTGTTGTTAAAAGCAGATTTGCCTTGCTATCTAGCAAGTTGAGGCAGGAACATTGCCATCAAGCACAACTGGGATACTGCTTGCTTTTTCTCTTCTGTAGCTGTTTTTCTACTAAGCAGCTCCTGATACCTGAGTTGGGCTTGATGGAAAAGGACCTCAGTGAGAGGAGCAAAAGGAAGGTTCAGAACTTTTGGCTCACACCCACCTTTTATACCTTCTGTTACACCCAGTGGTTTATGTATGATTGATTTAGACCATACTTTGACACACAAATCTGCCCGTCTTACAAGTAGCTTGGCCCTTCACCATGGGCAACTGTGCTTGTTGCGGTTTCCTATTCCAGTCATCAATGACTTTCTGCTAGTACATAGAAAACTTTGGAGGCTTTTGAATATTTCCCCTGCTCTAAGTATTTCCAGAAGAGTAGTCATTAGTGTGCTGCATCCGTATTAGCAATCTTGTGGCACCATAAAGTCTAACAAAAGTATTTGGTTATTAAGTTTTTGTGATGTGGAGAGTGTCCATACTTGTTAGTTTTTAAATTCCTCCTATTTAAATTCTTCTCTATTTTTCCTCTCTATGTCACTGTGTGTCACCCATTTCTAATACCTATGTGTACTTGTATACACACACAGCATTATTACAGAATTGAGGCAGAAAAAGACCTTGGACTATTTGTTTATTAGATTTTTAACCCACCCATGAGTCACAATGACTTTCTTCCAAATGCTGATTTGTGGTAGTCCTAATATTAATAGCGAGAACATTCAGTGGGGATTATTTTATATTTCATGTACCTGCTTGTTCTTTTAGACCAATTCTTCCATAACGTTTTCCCCTTTGAAGAGGGAAAATGTATGAAGCATTCACAATATGCATGAAATATGTTGGGTAGACATTTAAAATCACCGAGAATTTTGCACTCCAGAGTAATTAATTGTACAGAGAGAAATATTTTAAATCAGACAGGAAAAACTAATAGTATATCTCTAATATAAGATATGAAATGTCAGTTAACAGAGAAAGATATGCTGTTTGAATTATGCCAAGAAAATGCTTATTATGTTTCAAGCACTGTTGATAATAGTTGATTTGGAGTTAATTTTATAATTCTTCATTATTGCAGAAAAGATGTAAAGTTTATCAGTGACATTGAGAAGGAAATGAAAGCCCTGATAGAAGCAGTCAATAAGGTTAGTAAAGGGAAAGATCTGGTCATTTCCATTAATTTTAAGATATATGCATGCATTTCAGTCACTTTCAAAAATATGACTTTTTGGTAAGTATTATGAGGAAGATGTATAAGTTTAAAAATTCTTACAAGAACTTCAGTATAAAATATTTCATTGCTAAAAGTTAAATAGTTGTGAACCAAAAAAGTGATAAATATTCCCAGAAGAAAATTGCCTGGACGTACTTGTGTTGCCAACTAGATTCATATGTAGATGATTCTATGAGGACGTATTTCTGTCTTCTCATAAAGGTCACCTCTCTCTCTACTCCAGAGCAAGCATTCAAAGAAGAGTCATTGTTTCCCACCTATGAACAGAGAACACCGTCGGCTCATCCATGAGCTTGCTCAGGCGTACGGCATTGAGAGTGTGAGCTATGATAACGAACCAAAGCGCAATGTTGTTATCAGTGCGGTGAAGTATGTTGTTCCATTTTCTCGTTATAAGTGGCAAAATAATCACCTTAAAATGCAATAATATGTTTATTTGGTGTATTTAAACCAATTTGATTTCTGCATTTACATGGTGTGAACATCTTACACATTATTTACATATCAGGTTTTTTAATACAATATAGAAATGTATTGCTATGAGCGCTTCTGTTGCTAGAAATGTTGGTTCAGTTCATATACCTCATATATTTGAATAGAATCACAGTTGGCATCAACTTAAATTGTCATTTAAAGCTGCAATTAACCAAAGCACCATGAGTTAGTTACACAGCCTTCCGCAACTCCAATTATTTATGGACTCTGTAAACTTGTCTTGTCATTGATAAAACCTGTTTCTGTGTCTCAATATTACACTTTATGGTGTTTGTCAAATAATTTCTTTGTATGAAGAGGGGCTTATTAGCATTTTCAAATGATAAATAACTTTCGATGAAAGCATTATCCTAACCTGTGTTCTTGTGTGAAGATAGATTTGTATTAAAATACTTGTCTCCCTTACCTTCAGAACTCTCCTGTTTCAAAACTAGGAAATGGACGCTGTGTTACACAGGTTGGAATAATCCTTGGTTAAGCAGTACAAAGGCTTCAAGTAAAATGACTGAGCTGTTTGAGGTGGACTTGGTAGTGGCCCATCTGAGAGAAGCCACATTCATTAATGCCCGAGGCCCACACTCCTTCAGCTCTCTTGAAAGAGAAGTCTGTCCCTTCCCGTCATGGAACAAGGCAAAATTCTCCCTCTGGCTACACCATAGCAGGAGGTGCCTAATGTGCTAGTATGGCTTCATGCAGATGGAGTAACCTCTGACAGAAAACTTTGCTTGCAGGTTACCCTGTGTCAAACAAAGAACTGTTACCAACCATGTGAAACTGAGTCCACAGCAGGGGAGAGGGAGCAGCTGTGTAATACCAGCTGTCTGGCAACTCTCCCAGTTTCACACTGTACCAACTACAGAGCTATGTGCAAAGTTTCCCACTTAGTGACTGAAGTTGGTACTCTAGGCTGCAGACACATTGAGAATTCATTAAAGAGAATATGTTTCAAAAATAGGCTAACTCGAAGGGACACACCTCAGGTCCCCTTGGTATGCAAGTGCTGTGACATCAGAGCCTCTTGCAGATAAAGGACTAACTGAGGGAGCGAGAATTACGGGCTAGTAAGTGTCTTGCAGCTATCTTAACAAAAAGCTCATTGATATGACGGCTTCTTTTTTCTAGAGGGAAATCAGTTTGCCCAACAGTTACTCTGACATCATTACTTATGAAGGAGAGGCAGACTAGGCCCCCACCACCAGTGCCTCATCACAAACAGTCAGAGAAGTAAGTACTTCTTTCAGATATTTGTATTGGCTTTATGTATTTTGACCTGTGGTTTCTCTCGGATTGACACTGGTTGCCCTTCCACGCCAGTTACCCTAGCTGGCAGTACAATGGTCTGTCAGTTTGTGTGAACGGATTTATCTGCAGTGCATTTCCTTACTGAAGGGAAGAGTTGCCACATGGCCCATGTTTTCTTCCAGACGGTGCAGAAATAATCTGCTTCACAAATAGGTGTCCCTGGTTGCTCTGGAAATGCCATGCATCTCACAGAGCCTAATAATTCAAAAGGGGGCTGTCCACAAGGGACCACCATCCTTATGTTGTGTTGTGACTCCCGTCTGTGGAGGAGCATAAAAAACCACTCTCAGGTATGCAGAAAATAGTGAAGAAGTGCATGTCTATAACAGGTGGACAGTATGGGACCTGGCTCTTGTGCTTTGCAAAGCCCACTGCCTCCACCATTATTAAATTTGCTGCAGCAGCAAAAGGAAAAAGCCTTGGACTGTGCGGCTGAAATTGGGTGATGGGGCAGCAGCAAAGAAGGTACCAGTTTTCATCAGCAAACTGCAATTCTTTTCCTGCTTGTGCTGCCACTCCACTGAATTGGGTGGTGACGGGTGCAGCCCCACTGGGTTCCAGGGCAAAGACAGAATTGGTCCCCACATTGGCCATAAGTTGTGGTGCCTTCGTCTCCCCAACAGAAGTCAATGCTTATACAAGTTTTTACACCCTCCTGTGAAGTCGTGACTTGGTTTTATCAGCAAGCCTTCCCAATTTTGGAGTGGTCTCCCAATTTTCCAAATAGCATAATGTACATAATGTTTTATATACTTTGTCATATTTTAGTACATAATGGATGCCTTAACTCTTCATTAGGTACCTTCTAACTACCAGGTAGTAGGGTTGACACTTTTCTGCTGTTTGACAGAGATCTTAGTCACTTCTTTGGTGCTTTATTTTCGTATAAATAGGTAGAATTCAGTTAACGTATTTGCCATTTCACTAGCTTTTAAAAGATGGCTCCCGTTGAGGCCATCCCTTCTGTGACCAAATGATCAGGTGTGGGGCGGAGGGAGATGGAGACAGCCATCACCACCACCACCCTGCTTGAGGGTCACAACAGGGCTTATCCTTGGACTTTGTCAAAGTGAGCACTTTGAAAATAGCCAGGAAAGCCAAGACTCGGCACAGCCAAGTCTGCCCCACTCCCTACGATTAAAGAGGCTCCAGTGACAATCTCCTTCAGCCCCCGTTGGACCTTGCCTACTGGCCTCAAGGGAAGCCCACCCAGCGCTGCAGCCCTGGCCCTTCCCACGGCTGCCTGGTGCGTGCAGGTGTGCCTCACGCAGACTCCTCTTCTGCATGGTGTCAACAGCTTGGCTTAGCAAGGGGGTGTTGGCACTAACAAAGCTCCCACCTGAGAGCGGTGCTGAATGGGCCTCAGACATCTTTGGCAAGGGTGGGAACACTTGTTTATTCAGTACGTTCATAAGTATGAATCTCCATCAATATAATTGCATATACTCATTGTATAATAGGTTCCATGTTGAATGCTTTTTGGGGTATGTGTATTAAAAGACTTTTTGGAATGATGAATCACTTAAGTGATTGTGAATCTCTTTGTATACTGAAAATTGTACCTTTCAAATATTTAATTTTTTATAGTATTTTACACTGAATTTCAAAACATAAGACTGCTTTGGTTGTTGGGCAGTATAGAAATATATTAAGTAAATAAATACTTGCTTTTCTCCAGTTACCAGAAGCATAACAATACGATAGTTATTTCTTTGTATACTTGGGTTGATTTTTTCTGGGACATGATAAAGTCGACAACACCTGGCGTATAGATTTGTGGCATGTTCAAACTGTACTTGGTTCAAGCATCCCTGTAGTTTTGAACTACAGCGCACCCTCACTCTTCACTGGGAAAATGTAGATGTAAATAAAATAGACATGTCTGTAAGCTACTTACTGGCAAGTTTACAGTTGGTGTTTTTGCCAGTCGTGGACAGTCCCAATTGATACAGTCACGCTTGCTCTTGTCTAGGAAGCAGGGTCAACATGCACATGTCAGCAACAGGAAGGGCCTCTCCCCAGCTCTTAGAGAGGCCTTTCCTGGTTAACAGAATCAAGGCAGAAATTGCAACCAAGATTACCAAGCTCCCCGTGTAAATAGTTATCTGAGGAAAAAGGTGTGTGGCCTCCTTCCTTGGACCGGGTGCCTTCTGTCATACAGATAATGAAGTGTCCCTAGCCTCAGAGTTCCCAAGCCAATTGGGAGGCGTTGCCGCTCAGATCAAGGTGCTCAAGGGAAGGAACAGATCCACCGGCAGCTCAGCAGGTCATTTCTTAACTTTTCCAGATCATTGGTCCTGGGATCACGTCACAGCACTCTAGGATGGGTGTGCTAGTTTCACTGTTTTGTCTTCAGGTAACAGACCATGTAGCCTTTATGGATCACCCCCCTAGTAGTAGGTGAGAGGACGGTGGGTCAGACGCTGTGATGCAGCCTTTTCCCAGGAAGACATCAAATCATTAAAATCATCTGCTCTATTTCTAATGTCATCAGTTAGAAGGGAAATACTTCAGGTGGTTTGATAGTTCATAAATTAGCACTTGAATTCTAGACACTGTCTCTCAGGTCTCACTTCGTAAGTCCCCCAGTGATCGCCCTGTGCTCAGCCTTCATAGTTCTGGTTGACAAGGGAGGCCTCCCAGGAATTTATGTGACAAAACTTGCTCAAGATACCCCCATGGAGAGAATCTGGGCCTTTCTTTGCAACTCATTGAAGATTCTGGGGCCAGCAAGATGCTTCATAAACATAGGTGGGCAGGCAGCTTAATTTCTGTGGAAATAATTATCCCCAGAGAAGTTTAAAGTGATCAGCAGTAATTCTTCTGATTTGCAACATTCTTACCTTATGGATGCTGTACAATTTTTGGACATGGTCTCAGCTGCAGACTTTATAACCCACAAATACATAGTTTTGTGAGCGGGTTTCTTCCTTCCTGTTTTCCTCTCCAGCAGACTCAGATGAGAATTTAGAAGCATAGCCTTTTTATTGGAGCTTTATTTGCATTAGTAAAGTACAAATCAAAGTGCCATTCCCCACAAGATGTGTCAGAAGCATCAACTTATGTAAAGAGTTGAATCCAAGTGGAAACATACGCTCCCTTTCAGAAAAGATTCTGACTGCACCTTCATGGTAGCTCCTGGTGCTCACGGGCTAGACATTTCTTGGTGGTCTCCTTGCTTTGCATTTAGTCTCCTGTCAGCACCAAGGAACTCTCCCTCCAGCCCTGAAATGTCTCCTTCCTTTTCCAGAGCAAACTTAGATTCTTCACTGTGTGAACTTGAAGCTGCAAGTCATCTGCCCGACTCTGTTGCTCCATTTCTTCTCAAAATTAGAGGAATCTGTATGAGCAGACTTTTATGTACAAAAGCTACTCCCCACCCATCTGCACATTATTCTCCAAATACTTAATTGTCTGATCAGTAGTAGAATCAGACTTCTAGTCTTTGCCATCTGTAAGACAGCTATTGAGTACACAGCATTGACTTTTCTTCTGCTGATGCAGTATTTTGCAGAAGACTGTTCCAAAAGGTTTTCACAGTATAACTCTGCATTACTGGTTCTCTGTCCAACAACACTGCAGAGATGGAATTTGGTATGAGCAGAGAATTTCTGGTTTCAATGATGGTGAGCTTAAGCAACCCATCCGTGCATAAAATGTGAACATGCACATGGACTGCACAGCACAGGGAAAGGAGGAAAGCTGACATATTCTCCTATTAGCCTGTGATATTTTAGTTGTATCCTGTAGTTGTAAACTGTATCTTGTTTCCTTGGGATCATTTTTTTTTTAAGTTCAAGGGCTTTTCTAAGTTTCAGGCATATTCTGGGAGGGAAAGTCTGGCCCTAAGTGTCATTTGCGTGGTGACCCTGTCTGCTAAGAGAAGGTGCTGTGACACCAGTCAAGAATGATCATGCCTTACTGCTAACAGGAATTCCTTTGTAAGACCCAATGCTTCTTCCCAGGCTCTGTGAATCACACATAATGGGTTACCACATCTGCATGGAGCAGCATTTGGAACATTCTAGGACTAATTAGGGCTGTGAGGCAGGATTCCCACTCCTTTACCTGCACACACACCAGGTGTGACTCCCGTTTTGTGTCTCAGTTCCCTTCTTTCTCCCTCTGAAAGAAGCTGTTTGGAAATTATCAGTCTTAGAACTAAAACAACAGTAGCAAAAGCTTTTCATCCAAACTTTTGGAGGATGTGACCATCCAACCTGCTACTTCAGGGATTTCCACATATCCAATAGCAAAACTTCCAGCTGTCTCCTTGAACCAAGAACTCAAGGCTGGCCCATTGATGCCAATGCTCAGTACCAAGCCAAACAGACTAAATCCTGCTCCAAGCTTCCTACAACCAGGCTATGCGAACAGTCAGAACAACATTCCATCCATCCATCCTTCTTTATAAGCCGCGTATAATTGCCGACGCCTTCCTGTGTGGGACCACATCACTTTAGATGGTTATCCATCATTGCCCATGGGTTTTGCATCAGGTTCAGTTATCTTTTCCCTCTAAGGATTTTGTACAGCACCTGCCCCTTCGCTCATCAACACCACTTTGAGAAGATAAATTGCTGTCGTTCTTGTGAAGTACACGATCAAAAGGGTCTTCCTGGCTTAAGGGACACCTGGACTCATAGGCGCCAAAGAATAGAAGCCTTCCCCTTAGACTGGACCGTCACAACATTGACAGTTTTACAAATTCCCCGAAAAATCAAAATAAGGACAATCTCAGCCATACCATACCATGTTCACTTTAGAGGCGCTGACTCACAACAATAGATTTCCAAGATATGTACTGAGATTGACAGGTGGCATTGTCTTTCCCTTCCTCAGTAATTGAGTCTTTGTTGCTCTCTGACTTACACCCTGCCTTTTATTGGGGCACTAGTGGACTCCACAGATGCCAGAACATGACCTCCCGAAGGACGAAGCAAATGCTATCCGGCTCCTAGCAGCTGACTTTTCCCAGCTGTCTTATTGTGCAAGGCCATTGGAGTCCAATGTCTTCTAGGTCCTCCAGCTTCTACTATGGCAGTCACTCTGTTCACCTGTCTCCACATGCAACAGCTTCAGTTCTGGTGCATCTAACACACTAACCCTCAAATAGACCATCGAGTTTTTCACCAATATCACAAGATACTCCCTTGAAGGGTGGCCATCCTTGCCGCACCTACCACGAAGATTGCCATTTTGCACTCCAAAACCAACACTTACAGCCACAACAGACACTTCTCTCTGGGACCACACTGCTATTCCCTCATGATCAGAAGATTCTGGTCATCCAGGATCCACACCTGCCAACTGGAACCGTGGCAGAAATCCTCTGAGCATTTGAAACTGCTGTTACGGCCATCCCGTTTAAATCACAATGGACAATACCGCTGCTGTCTTTTATATCAAACAAAGGAGCGCACATTCGCTACTGCAACCTCACTCTGAACTTTTGGGATCAGTTTGTATATTGCTCCATCACTCCAGTTGCCATTCATCTGCCAGGGACTGCTAACATCCTGGCAGACCCATTGAGTGGACCAAAAACATCCCCCTTGAATGGAAACTCAAACCAGGGTACACCAACCAGGGTAGACCTCTTTGCTACAGCACAAAGCTCAGAGTGGTGTTGGTTCTGCACCAGAGTTGAGTCATGATACACATTATCTAGGAGACAGCTGCATACAGTGGAGGTCATGGCTGACCCATTCCTTCCCTCTATTTCTACTGGTCATGAAAGTGGCAAACAAGACACAGAATGATGGGGCACACTGCATGCTGTGGTGGCCTCAGCAATGGTGGTACTTTCCTTCTACTCTCCATCCTCATATTCACCCACCTCCCACACGGACCAGACCTCATCTCAGTGGGCAGATCCAACACTCTAACCTTCCATCCCTTCACCTCACTTTGTGGAAAATATGCAGCACTGTGCCTTCTCCGTACAAATATTAGAGGGTCAAGGGCTGCCCCTAAACCTTCCATTTGTACTTCCTGTGCATCCGAGTGGAAAAAAATTCAGAACTTCGCTCTCTGAACCATGCATTTATGCATTCCAGACTTTCTCCTATCATTAAAAACAAACGGCTTATGTCTTACCCCCCTCAACCATCAGAATATTCCTGGGAGCAATATTGGCCTAACGCAATACCAACAATGGATTAACCATGTTTTTTCATCCTCAAACAAAAAAAATCCTCAAGTTTATATCCTTCAGCTATGTTCCTATGAAGTCTGTTGCACTGACTCGGCTAACCACCAAATGTTTGAACAACTAGCCAGGATGGAACTCTTCTAACTATGAAAGGCTAGTTCTTTGTAACTGTAACCTCTTGAGCTCTGTGCCTTAGAACGTGATCCACCTTTCTTCAACCTTCACAAAGACATGGTAATCCTCAGACCCAATTGCTCCTTCCTGCCTAAAGTGGATTCATATATTTAAATCTCAGGATATAGTACTGCCGTTTTCCTTCCTTCCCCACCCAGTTCCCCAGATGGAACCAGACATATTTAGCTTTGATCTTCCACGTGGTCAGAATGTCATAGTTTCAAAAATACCACTTGCCTTTTTGTGTACTACCCTGGAGCTAGAAATGGCTACGCTGTCTCATCCCAACACTGACCACATGGGTCACAGCAGCCATTCGATCTGGTTTACCAACTGGCTCATCTGCCCCTCTTTCTGCAAGTGGAGGGCAGTCTCCAAAGGCCTGCTTGACTGCAGTCATCAATGGAATACGAATACCACAGCTCTGCACTGTGACTGCTTGGGCCCAAACATCCACTTTCATCAAGCACTACCACTCAGATGTCAAAACTAGAATGATGCTTTGGCAGAGCTCTCTATCCTTGCTTCACATCTGCCCCCACTGGTAAGTCTTTAGCTTTGTAGTCACCTGTATGTGTGAGTCACAGAAACCATGAAGAACAGGTTGCTTACTTGTACTGTAGTTCTTTAAGCAGTCATGTGTGTGCTCACATACAACTGCAACTTACCTTCACCATGCCTGATGCCTTGTGATTTCTTTCTTCCGCTGTGGTGGACCTGGAACTAAGGTGCAGGTGGGAAGCGCACCTGTTAGCATGCACAGAGGGAGTGGGGCAGGGCTCCTGCCAAAAAGTTCTGCTAGGTTCCAGAATGTTCTGAATGCTGTTTTGCGCTGCCACTTTAACCTACACATGTGAATGCACAGATGATTACTCAGAGAACTACAGTTACAGGTAAGCAGTTTGTCTTTTCCTTTTCTACACCAAACTTTTACACTTTTTGCTCCATAAGTTTTAACTTTTCCTTTGTGTTACTTTTAGGCACGGGAATAGCAGCATTGAGAGGGGTTTCAAAGAAGAACCGGTGATTGACTACTTTGATGTACAGGATTGAAGGGATGCATGTGAAATTACGCTGCTCAAAACTGGAAGAGAAGCTTCTGGTGTGTCAAGTACAATTTTGTCAAAATGAATCTTACTTGATGTATTCAAAGTTCATCATGTAAATGACAGGTGAAAATAAATTGTTCACACATTAATCCTCGGTGTGTTGAGATGAAACAAAATGACTTTGAGTGGATGATCGTAATGGAATGTAGTAGAAATTGCACATGTACATCCGTAGCCAGCTTCTGAGTAAATCTTCAAGTAATTCAAAATAACAAGCAATTTTAACCAGTGGTTTCACTATAAATAAATAAATGGCTCCTTTTGTCATCCGAATCACTCAAGCAATCACCACTTACAATTACGGTCCTGTGAAGAAAAGAGTGGGGGTCCAGGCTCTCCGCTCCAGACTTTCCCCCCAACTTGGGAGTAGGGCTCCTCTTGCTGACCCTGCCCTGATGAGGACATGGGCAGGGCCTTCAAGAGCAGTCTCACTTTCTCCACACAGTTGTAATCACATTGAGGATGGAATGCCTTAAAGGAACTAGCGTCATTCATAAGTCACCTGAAAGAAACATGTAAATGATTTATTGTCAGATGATTGTGAATGAAGAGTATGGATCATATGATGGATCTAGATGAAATTATAGAGTCAGTTTTTTAAAACCATAAAGCATTGAGAGAGATACCCGGTGAAGTTGGTCAGCAATAGAATTGGTGAATCAGCAAGTTTGTACCCACAGTTTGTTTCTAAAGTTTAGTTTCTTTTGCCATCAATCTACTTTTACAGTGCTACATATTTTTGGATGGTAAGTGTTTATGTTTGGGAGTATTTTAAGTTGTGCAGTATATAGTTTACTTTTTTAATGGAAATTAGTTTCTCCTTCACTTAGGGGTGTTTGTAAAATTATGTCTTGCTTGTGGTGGTAAAAATAAACTGGTAAAAATTGATGGTTGTTGGTGAAGGAAGAAATTATGGTCAGGTGCACTTAAAATGTTCCCTGACCATAGGCACTTGAAATATAAAGGTCTTTTTTTTAAGCTAACATCCTCTTGCTGTAAAATATATGCACTCTGTACCATCTTCTGTTTCACCTTCTATCTGTAGGCAAGCTAATATTAAAATTCACAATTACCGTAATGCCAGTGTTGATACTCCTTGCTGAAAATGTAGTGTTGAAGTATGCTATAAGAAGGTACACTTGAGTCAGTCATGGTTGTTTGGCTGAGTTGGTACCCTGACTTTTCTGAAGAAACCTGGGTTACTTGTATTTGGCTTGTGAATACATACATGCCTGTAAAAATTCTTGTTGTGTTGATCCAAGGGAGTGACATGAACAGGGTTCCTTATACTAATCATTGTAACATGAAAACCCACAATTGTAATAGAATTTTAAAGGTGCTGTACACAGAGGGGTGAAGTTGCAGTGGTCTGTATTAGTTTATCACCTAATATTCTGCACTTTGAAGATTGGTTTACCTGCTGTACACATTAGCACATATTTTAACTAGCCCATGACAATGTAGCCTATCATTCGTCCAGACATGTTTCATCAGATGGAATAGTGAATTTGGTTTCATAGAGCACAGGCAAATTCTTGAATTTGTCATAGATTGCCTAAACATTGAGCACAACTGTGCCTTTTCCAAAGATCCCCAGTGGGGAACCCACTCCTTTTTCTATATGTGTAAATGAAGCCATGCCACTGTCACCCACAATTCAAGAGCTGGCTTCCTGTTTTGCACACACAACTGTTCTCATGCCCCATAGAAATTGATTTTTAAATTCAAGCATATGGCTGCCCATCAACCAATATTTTCTTGGCAGCCTACCAATGTATGCACAAAGAAGGATGCTATGTATAGGTAAGACAGCAAATGCATGTCCATGTCGAGTTGATACTATCAGGTCCCACATGGTTGTGGACTCCTGCATTCATCCAATCAAATATAGTGCAGACGCACATTTCTGTCCATTTCTAGACAGGGTTTTCACATCCACATATGCTGATGTGTCCTGCAAGTGGTGCTAATTAAGAGGAAAACCCTGTTTGTGGTTTCTCTTGATCAGGTCCTGTAAGGAAGCAGTCATTCATTTTTAATACTTAGTGGTTTTAATTTATGTGGGTTATGGTCTTAAAGTGATTGGTTCTGCTGTTGCTTGGTGAAAGTGCCATGTAAACATTAAGGAATTAAAATGGTGTTTCTCTTTGCTGGTTTTGCACAATCTTGATATGTCTTATATGGAGATAAACTCTCAGTTATTTTGAAATATCAGTACTCATTCACTTCTAATTTGTTTTTACAGTTTTGGTAACTTAATTGAAAGAAAGAAGTTCGTTTGCAATATGTCTCTTAGAAGACAGTTTACGATTATGAACAGGGCAGTGCAGGTACAGTTTCAGGACTAAGATTTGGTATATATGTAAAATGGCTTAGATTACTCTGTGTATTACGTTTGTGTGCAATCTGAAAGTGTAAAAGTCACCATGGAAACTATTCATTAGGCCATTTCTCATGATGTACTTCATGATGCAAGTGAAAGTATATTGAATCATGATTTGGTTTTTAATACCTTATTTGTTGAATCTTTATATACACAAACACATACAACTTGCTTGCTTTCAAGTTCAATGCTGTAAAAATGAACTGACTTTATAAATCTGTAATATAAACTGTAATAAAAATCAAAAGTTCAAAAGGATGTTCTTTAGAGTTGGTCATAGCAAGATGGGGAGGCAGTGGAAATGATGCAGGAAGTCAATCATGAGATAAATGGAGAAGTTCTTGTACTCTGCTAGTCAACTGCTGGCTGTCCCCAATTAAATCTGAATTATTTTCCAGGAATATAATTTTTAAAATGTACTTTCCTGCAATCTTTAGAAATTTATTGCCAGAAATAGCTGAATTTCTTCCTTTTTTAAGCAGAAAAAAACACATTGAAATGAGTATAGTTTAGGTAAAGGGAGAATTTCTGTATTTCTATATACTGTGTGCCAGTGATGTGGCTTTAACAGAACACTTGAAATTTTACAGAACACTTGACATGTCACTACCCTAAAATAATGGAGACCTGATTTAAGATGCTTCATTTAATTTAGCAAACAAAACTTTAAAAAATTAAAGTCTGTTTAATTTTATGTGCTATTTAACTAAATAGTTTTCCAAAGGCAGTTGAACTAAAATGAATGAGGGGAGGGATAATAAAGAGTACTTATTATGATTTAAATATTCAAATAACTTCAAATCTTTATTATTATTTCTTATTTTGGGTTTAATAAGTATTGTATCCATTCCACTGCCCACTTTGGGTTATACTGTGCCCATTAAATTATTTTTAGGCCCCCATGTGTAGAAAATTTTCTGTTCCCTATGACTGAGCTGCAAATAGATCTCTCTGCAGGGTGCTTGCCACTGGAAATGGGACTGTAATGGTGTTTGGATTGGCAGGCAGGTTTGCCTCTGTTGCAGGAGAGTCATCCTCCCCACCCCCAATATGGTGTAGCATTTTTTGCTGCGGAACTGAATGGCATTCATTCACAAGGTTTCCAAACTTTCTGCGACTTGGTGACACTCTTGGCAATTTAAGAAAATACTAAGGCACCACCACAAAATGCTCGTCAGGGAGGTATGGCTAGCCCCAAAGCACAAGTAACTTGTGCTACAAGTTAGAAGTGGGGTATCGGCCCCAACACACACAGTTTCTTTGAATTCACAAACTCCTGTACCAAAAGAAGATTATTTCACAAAAAGCAAGCTTTTCACCCTCTCACATCTCCCCATCTGGCTTAGCACCCATATATATTTATTATTTATAAATGTACATATACATTTTCTCTGATATGCACATACCCCTTTGCTCTCACTGCAAGCACATGAAAAGTCACACACATACTCGGCTGCCCGCCGAAATACCCCCTTAACTGCATCACTCCAAGCGCTCTCTCGCACACACAGTCCCTATTAATTCAAGCACATAAGCACCCCAGGTTACTCTTCCCTAGCCCTGCTGGCTTTTCACTGCCCTCTCCCTCCTTGACCCTGCTGTTGAGTTCTAGCTGCCCTTCCTAGTGCCCACCTGCATCTCCCTAGCTTTTCCAGGTTACCAGACAGCATTGACAGGTATCCATTTTATTTTCCCCCATTTTCTTCATGGCTCGGTGCATGACAGAGGAAGCAACTGCTCCCCATCTTTATTTCTGAAGAAGAATGTCTCTGAATCATGTGTCGTTCAGAGGCATACATGGGAAATGTAGGTGGCACTAGTAGGTGGACATTGCTTTGCTTTGAAGCCTTTCCACTTGTTGGAAATAACATGTGTTACCATATTTTTTGGATAAAGAGAGAGGGCTTACAGATACCTAGGGGCACATTTATGTTCCAGGGCATCTCATCAACTTCTATCAAGGAAAAAGCAAAATGTTCTTATTCTCTTTCCTTCTCGCCAACTAAAATGGTTATCTGATGGCATATAGCATAAACTGTAGGAAAACCAAGTGCAACCTTTTAATGTTGAAAATGTGAGTCAAATTTCAACACCAAATTCAAATGAGTCAAAATGGTGTAGTGGTTGTAATTTCAGATATAACAATCTATTAGGAACAGCAAAACAAGCATTTTCTTTTTCCAGACCAGCTTTACCATTCTGTACATGCGTACTATCATTTGCCATTTGAATTAAAGGAAGTTCCTTGGAAGACAAGTGTGCAAGGAAACATGCACAGATCTAGAAAAGAATTATGGCTGCCAGAAACTCACTACCTCAAATTAAAGAACAACTAAGAGAATAATATGAAGAATAGTAAAATAATAGTGGAAAGTCTGTAGGAAGGATATGAAGGATACTGTTGCAGAGAAAATGGCAAGTACTCACAGAGACAAGTCTGTTAGCATGAAGGTGTAGCAGTTGACCTTCACTTCATTCCTGCAGTCAATACTTCGTGTAGCATCTGAATGATATTTTCAAGATCTCAGTTCTGGTAGTGTACAAATATACTGAAAACTAAGAGGAATGTAATATGAGAATTATACAATGGCAACACTTCCAACTGTATTCAGAGAGAATGAACATCTCTAGACCATCTTCAGTGGTATCTCAGGTTTCTGTCAGCATCCCTATTGTTAGTAAAACCTCAAGATAGTACATTCACTTGTACTGTCACAACACAATCAAACTCACTGAAGCAGCAGTATTTAGAGGCGGGGGAAGGATAATGCAAAGATCTTAATGGGCACTCTAACAAAACACCCAGTATCTAATATACAAATTCTGTATATTTTTGAGAATTTGTCCTGCACAAGAAGCATCTTGAACAGTCAAAAGCATTCCTTTTCTGGAGTTTCTTCCTTAAAACCATGAAGATCTTTTTCATCCAGCTTCTCCTTGGAAGACGCATCGAGACAATCTTTTTCTCAGTCTCTGAAGATGTCGTGGTATATTTGCTTCTCCATCTGCATGTCAGAATCCAAAAGTTTGAGGATGGTAGAACTGAAGGGTCTTAAAGAGGTTCTGAGGCAGAGTCTGTTCTTTGGGTGGGCTGACAGTTTAGCTTCCATTTCAGCTTCTTGTATAAGGAAAGCCAAGAAAAGAACAGGACGGAAGAAAATTAGTTCTGTGAAGGCTACATCTAGTTTCTCCACAGGAAACTGCTATTAGTGCTACAATTATGTTCCATCAGATAGCTTGCTAGTGGCTATACACAAGCTACATGGTGGTTGATTATGTAAATAATATGCTTTGAAATCCCATCCAGATCATAGGAAGACATTGGGCTCGATCAGGGGTCAGCAACCTTTAACACTCAAAGAGCCATTTGGACCCATTTCCCACAGAAAAGAAAACACCGGGAACCGCAAAACCCTTTTGACATCTAAAATGAAGATAACACTGCATATATAGTTTTTTACCTTTATGCTATGTATAAAAATCTATAGTGTGTTGCATTTATGAAATCAATGAACTGCTACAGAGAAAACAAATTTTTATTTCTGCATGCAACAAAAACATTTTGAACTCCGAAAAGACGCTGAGTTGAAAGTTACTTTCAAATAAAATACTCAATGTCTATCTGAGTCCTCCTCGTATTTATGAAATAAAAAGCCAAACTTATATTATCCACTAGCAGCAAACCAAACATGCCTCCTGCAGCAAACCAAACATGCCGTCTGCTTCTGTGTGCCCTCATCCTTTTATCACGTGGTGAAATACTGAACAAACATCCCTCTCCCAATGTAATAATGTTGCTGGAATTTTTATAAGAATCTTCTTAAAACAAAGAAGTAGATCTATATCTTCATTATGATTTAGCTGCAGTTCTTGTTCAGTCACTAAAAACTGTTATTTTTAATCTTACATTATAAACTAGTAGGATTTCTTTCATATATTTTGAATAGAACAGTTTCCTGCAGAGTCAAAGTCAGTGCTAAAGGGCTGCATGCATTAAACAGCAAACCCCATAAGTTTGTCAGCAGTAAAAGCAAATGAATCTACCAAAGTACCATTAAATGTTCAGTTTTCTTCAGAAACTTTTCTTTGGATTTATCCATGGTTGGAGGGGAGGAAAGCTCAGTAAATAGGCGGAGGTCGCAGATACTGGTGTGTTTAGTGACTGATTAGCAGATAAACAGTCAAGTGATGTGAATTGTGACAGGTCCCAAGTACAGCTTTTAACATTCAGATGAAGGAGATTACATTGAGACAGAGAACCTTTTCAGCAGCATTTTGTTTCATGTAACATGAGAGCTGCAGGAAGCTTGTTTAGCAGCAGAATGTAGCAATTTACTTAACCAGCTGATTTACTTAACTAGTTAGCCCTGTGTTCCTGAGTGGAGCTTTGAGCAGATCAGCCGCTGTGCTGGCGCATGCTTTGAGCAACAGAGCTGCAGGGGAGGGGTTCAAGAGCCATGTGAGGCTCCAGAGCCGCAGGTTGCCGACCCCTGCACTAGATTAAGGTTTGAGTTATTGTCATGTTGTGTTTACCTACCAAGCTTTCATTTTTCACTAGATGCAATCATCAAAGCATACGTAAGTGCAAAAGGCAGGCATTAAGATGACATAATCCTGACAAACAAAAACCATAGTGGCCAGTCACAGCCAGCAGTTCCAAGAAAGGCATCAGTATCAAGAAGATGCTTGTTCTGGTTTGTACAAATTACTATTCCTTTTTCTTAAAAGTGCATCTAAAAACAAGACAAGCCCAGCCTGCAGAGACTCAACATACAGGCAGAAAAAAAAAAGGAGAAAGATGAAAATAAACTGAGATGGGTATTTCAGTAACTTCTTAAATGAAGCAGTAAAGGGCTTAAAGGGAATTCTAGTGGTGTGAGAATTCTAGGAATCTAGTGCAATTATGTGGAAAGCTGAAGTCATAAGAACAAGAACAAGGGAATGATAAAGATGGAATAGGGCAAGAGAATGGCAAAATAATATTAAATAGTTCAGCTAATTAAAAATGAAAGAAGAAACCAATGCCAGGAACAGAAAAGAGGTGTGTTGGATGATGTACAAAATAAATAGGAACAACACTTTTAGACTATTCTGATAGAAGTTGCTAAAGGCATATCTGTAATCGGGAGAAGACATCAGCTGTAATAGTGTATTCTTTCCCTTCAAGAAACCTGTGCCATATTATTGCTATAAAAACATCTTGCTTTATCTGCTGCTTATTCCAGATACACTACTTCAAAATGAGTG